AAAGAAAACATCCGCGGCTGCTGAGCGCGTGCTGATGGCGAGCTTGCACGGTTCTTTTCCACACCATCAAGATCGCGGGTCCTGTAAACGCGAGCTCGCTCTGAGCACGCACTGTAAGCACTCAGCTATGGCGTCCAGTTACTACCCGTCCGAAATGGGCAGCTCCAAGCGCGCCCTTTATTTACCGTATCCTGTTGCCGCCGGGTCGTCCAACGATCGCGAGCCGAACGAGGAAGGAGAGTGACGCGATTGTGTGTCACGAGCGCGTGCCATCGAGATATGCGTTCCCGGCCGGCGACGCTATCTTATCGGCGAGCGTCCACATTGCAGCTCGAGGGTCTCGGGCGCTTCGAGAGGCAGCTGCACTGCGCATGCAGATGACGCGCTCGCGTTCCTCCAGTCCGCGTCATGGCGAACGTCCGACGCGTCGGCTGATGTGCTACTCGCGGTCAACTTTCTGTGGCTGTACAGTCAATGCTAGGGGAGAGGGCGCACCAACCACCAAACACGCGCTTTCCTCCTCTCTTCGGATTGCCACAAAAAACTGACCAGAAGTTTTCTTATAGACGCTTTGCAGCAGCTGTGCATGGACGCCGCCATAACTGACCTTCAGTTTTTGTTTCCTCTTATTTCGTTCATTTCACTTCATCATTACCGTAGCAGGCCAGGTTATTGCCATATTAGATTTAACTGTGTCCTTTTCTAAAGCATCGGCCTTTGTAGAGGATCGTCAACTACCGTTTCAGTTGCTCGGCATCCCGGTAAGACAAGAGAAGGTCAGCAATGGCGGCTGTAATTTGGCGCGCGTGTAAAGCGTCTATATATATATATATACGTGTGTGTGGCTTATTCTTCTGGGGTAAAGTCCCTCGATGTTTTAGTCTGGGGCACACCGCACCCATCGAGTGCAGTAAACTATTTCCACTTTAGTACACGAAAGACTGGTGCGGAGAGAAGGAAGCTCCCCTCTCCCCTGTAGCCTTCCGTGTACCACGAACCGCACTGCACCGGTGCGATGCGGGCCCAGACGAATTGGCCAATAGACGAACTGCCGTGCAGTGCTGCCAACCCCTCCGGGGTCGTTTCTTCTCAGATTTTTATCGAAATATTCCCTAATTTAGTAAGGTACGTTGTTGGGCTAGTTGTTCATCTTAGTAAAACATATAAAATAGCGCAACAGAAACAAGGACAAGAAGTAAACAAGCGCCTGATAGCGCCTGATAGCGCCTGTCCTGTTTACTTCTTGTCCTTGTTTCTGTTTCCCTAATTTCCCTAGATTTTCAGAAAATGTGTTAATTTGCGTCAATATTTAGACTATCGTTATGGAGTAGCTTAAGAATAGGCTCCTGTAGTTGGGTGGCCATTTAAAGGTCAAATTTGCTTCGTTAAAGCCTTTTCACATAACTAAACTTTGTTACTTTGGCCTTGTGTGGCCCCCCGAAAATCGCCGTTGTTACCACTGTTACCACACTAAAATGCAACGATAAATTACAATCTGACAGGCACATGGTATGTTGATTAGAGTGCAAACAAATTTATTTATCGATTGGTTAGAAGCGAATGCAGTCCCCTACTGGCTCCAGCAGTCCTGGTAGGTCTCACTGTACCTGGAACCAGTCTTGGGTATTAATGCGTTACTTTAACTTTGTCACTTTTTTGGTAACTTGTAACTGTAACGAGTTACTTTTTCAAACTGTAACTGTAGTTCTATTACTTTTTCTCAAGTAACGATGAAAGTAACGACGTTACTTTTGTCGTTACTTTGAAGTTTCTTTTGAATAATGTATCATTGAACGTGTACAATCTAGCTATTCCTTGCACTTTCCAAATTGTCTGTTGCGACATTTCGAATGTCAAGTTGGCCTTGCCCAAACTTGTGAATACGTTCTTTTCTAGCGAGTGACGACCTGAATATAGCCACGTGTAGATTTGATAAAACATATTTAGTTATCTTTACACACGCGCTTGTACTTTTGTGACTGAACACTTACATCTTAGTAACTTCAAGCACTATCTATGTTGCGGTTGTTCTTTTTTCTGTGCAAATGCCTTTTAATCGGGTGAATCAATTGTGAATCAACAATACACGCAGAGGGCTCTGCGCATGTTTCGTGTTCGCCATCAAACGAGGGAAACTTTCAGACACTAATTTCGAGAAGTAGCTGCTGCTAAGTTACAATATGAAGTAAAACGGATCCCTTTTTTAATTTCATGCAATAAAACTTGGTGACGGGTATTTTCTAGTGTTTCCTAAATGTTTTTGTGCTCTAGAAAAGTAACTGAAAAGTAACGTCGTTACTTTTTAAAAAGTAACTGTAACGAGTTACTCTTTTGTTGCGGTAACTGTAGCGGTAACTTCGCTACTTTTTTCTGAAAGACTTAACGAATTACTTTTTAAAAGACTTACCCAAGACTGCCTGGAACCCCTCGCAAATATTCTTTAGACGGTTCCGGCGTACCTTTAGTCAGCCAAGCTTGATCTTATCAGCTCCACCCAGTTTCGGTGTCGTAAATTTTGGTCCCAAATCGTTGCCTCTGTGCCTGTTTGGCTTATCTGTCGACACCATTACATTAGATGGGGCTCCGGTTCTCCTAAAAAATGATAGACGTTTACGATTCTCCGTAATGCCGAATTAGAGCGCAGCTTCTGAGGAGGAGAAGGAAAGGGTATGTTCCTGCTCTCCTCTGTACCCCCCTCCTCCTCCCCTCCTATTTAGCGGAAATTTTTCGCTAAATTTCCCGCTAAATTAAGCAAAAATTTTCCCGCTAATTTTTAAGTTTTCCCGTTAAGTTTAGCGGGGAAACTGGATTGGTGTTGAGGTCACGTGACATGAATTTCTCCGCTAAATATAGCGAAGAAATTTTTCTTTTTCCGCTAAATTTAGCGGGAAAATTTTACACTCATGACGTCACGCGTGACGTCGTTATGGGAAACGTCCCATAATGCAACGCGCGGTCACGCCGACGCCGCTTAACCCGGAAACGGGCGCCTTGGAGCTGCGCTCTAAAATGGTGCAATGTCCATTGCGTCCGCACCCGTGATTCGCCCGTGTAGCCAAAAAAAAGTTTTTGTCCGGTGAGCTTCTGTCCGGTTAGCTTTAGTCCGATTACCGAGAAGTTCAGCTCGCGTAAGTTGCAAGTCACTGATCCTCATCCAGACGGAAAGCTCTTCCTCGTCTGCAAATGCTTTTCTAACGAAAGGACGCGAGCTGGCAGGTAAACAGCGAAACTTGCGAGTCACCCTAGGCGTACGTCGAGCGCATGCAGCCACGGCGCACCACAGCCGACGAAACGTAAACAGACGAGAGAAAGAATGTCCGATTTCAAGGCGGGGGTGTTGAGAAATGGCTTCCCCCGAGAGATTGCCTTATCGGTCCGGCCGAATGCTGCGCGCGCTTGGGGGAAGCCGCGGAAGAAAGGCGTCAACACCGTCTAGCTGGGAGCACGGCCAGATGGGGCGAGATAAAGTGGCCTTACCAAGGAGATAAGGGGCACTCCAGTGATTATCCTATCGGAAAACACAACTTAGATGGAATGGAGAAAAGAAACGTAATGGCCGAAGTCATGGCTATGGTCATTCATTCCAAGTTTCTGGCATATCGCGGGCGCCTTTCCACGTCTGCGATAAGCTCTGACTAAGCTATCGCTGAATTCTTCCATTTCGATCTTTCGCTCCTGCAGCCGAGTTTGATCTCCAGGCGACCATAGGGAGAACTGGGATTTTTGTGACATGCTCGTTTGTGGAATGCTTGAAGGGGCATTTGGGTTGCACCAAGGGACATTGGGGTGACGGGAGGGAAAGGGATATTTTTATTGCCTTCTCCCGTCATAGTTTACCAAGGCCGTTTGAAATGTCCTTGTTTGACCGTCTTTGTAAAATATGCTTACAAAAATATTTGCATAAGTGGAAACGCCTTGCCCGCAGCGCTAACTGAGCTTCTTAAAATTAACGGCGCACGGAATAGCAGCGCGAATGCGCGCCCGAACCGGTTCGAAACGGTCCTTTTGCTTTGCTCTAGTTTAGGTTCAGCTCCAAAATGGCGCCCAACATTTCTGTTCGGGTTCTGTTCCGGTTTGGGCAAAATAAGCGGTTCTGTTCCTGTTCGACACCCTGCAAGAAACAGCCTTTTTTGTTTTCTCGTGCTGAAAATGTAAAATATTATAGATACACTATTTGATATATGTGCTTGTATATTATTTCTACGGTAGTTTTCTGTTTTGCTTGGCTCAGATACTGCCATGCAGTGTTCTTAAATTGGATACATAAAGTTTAAAATTGTTAACGTTTCATAATTTAAGTGTCCAGTAAAGTGCTTTCTTTTTCTGCGTTCAATTTTTGTCTAGTACAAACAATCGACTACCTCCAAAAAGCATGGTCTATGCCGCAATATTTACCTGTGACCATTTTGTTTGGGTTTGCACTTGGGGCCATTTTGACCGGGACCTTTTTTTGTCTGGGACCATTTTGTCCGCATCCCACACGATACCTTTACCCAGTAGGCGACAGTGCACAACTGCATCATGGACACATCCATCCTTTCTCTCCATATCTATGGTGACAGTTACTACCGGTACAATTGGTGTATTATCTAGTCCACCAGCGTAGCCGTGCCACGTGTTTGAACCATCAAAATACATTTCGGCTTTCAACCTCCCAGACTTTTTAACATCCTGCCCATCCCGTTCACAGACTTCTGAACCAAATTTGAAGTTTGTGTTTGGACAGCATGAGGTCCATTTGCCTTCGAGGTGCGGCGACACTAAATCTCATCTGCATCTGGCTGCAGATGAGAAATTTAGCCCGGGGTCGCGCATCACACAGAGGTGATACGTGACCGCACGCCGGTACGGTGCCCAACCAGATCGAAACGGGAACAGGTGGGGATTGAACCCCCTGTGTTCTGCAACGCGAGTCCTCCGAGCCGCGGTGCACTAAAATACCGCAGGCTCGGTCGCAATGAGCATAGCAGCTGGTCCTGACGCTGTCCTTGTCGTTGCAGGCGAAAGCACAACATATGTGCTGCGGATCGCAGTAAGGGCGAGGCAGCGTGCCCTGGGGCCTCTGCACCCGGGCTTCGACATCAACAGCATCATCCACGACGGCCTGGTGAAGCTGCTGCCCGACAACGCCCACCTGATGTGCAACGGCAGGCTGCACGTGTCCCTCACCAGGGTCTCCGATGGAAAGAACGTGCTCCTCTCACACTTCGACAGCCGCGAGGACCTCATCCAGGTAATCCAGAGGGACATCGGGGGCCCATGCAGGGGCGGATGCAGAAATTTTCTGAGGGGGGGGGTCAGGTGTTGGTCAGCGTGCCATATACGAACCCCCTCCCCCTCTCCTTCGTTTCATGCCCTAAATTTTACACAAGCAGAAATCAAGAGGGGGGTCAGGACATCCGGACCCCCCCTCTAAATCCGCCCCTGGGCCAATGGGTCTCCACTGCACTCGTCCGTCCAAAGCGTTACAACTCTGCGTTTGGCTCGCGTATTCGAGTGCAGTGAATTCCAATCGAAGCTCGGCATTCAGACGTCTAGGAACGCTGCCATTTGCTGCCTCCGCTTTTTTTTTTTTTTTATAATAATATTGCGAAAGCATTAACTGTCTCATGGAGCGAGCTGACGTCATCAGTCTGAAGAGCGAAAACGGCAGGTTTTCGCGCTTCAGAACGTGGCGCGCGTCGACGGGGCTCCCATTGGCCGCTGCGGTCGCCAGTTTCCGCGACCGCTCACCCCATGGCGTTACGTGTCCATCAGCGCGGAGCGTCCAAGATCACCAGGGGAGCACACGCGCTTATCGGCGACGAAAAGTACGCAGCAGACGACAAAGGGAGCGGTCGAGCGGCTTGCCTGCTTTCGCATTCACAACTCCTAAGGAATGCTTAGGTGTGCCTTGGTCTTTTTTTTTTTTTCTAGCTTTATTTTGTATTGACAAAATAAAAAATATCGGCGTCCCGCATAAAAGGAAATGAAGTTGCCCAGCAAAACGTACACGCCCAACTTATCGTCCGCTTTTTTTTTTCTCGCTTTCCGTCGCACTTTTTTTTCGTTTTCTCTTTCTCTCTCTCTCTCTCTCGGGACCACCGATGTCGGCGCTTACGATTTGCCGAAACAGGTTCGAGGCCGCATTGAACGGCAGTTTGTGACCGGGAGCTTCTCTTCTGCTCATTTAGCAGTCGCGCCATTGAAAGGAAATTATTTTTCACGATTCAGCAGCCCGCGTGATCGCTACATCTGGAAGCATGGAACTGGCGTCTTATGATGCCGCAGGTGCCAGTTATATTAATCCTAATCATGATCCTGGTTTGCGCAAATGGCCCTTGTAACCATTACAACCACCCGTGACAGAGACGGGCCACTGAACCTCTCTCCATGGCCAAGCGAAGCCCGACTTTGTGTCACTCGCCGCGTGAGCTCGCCCCGTGCGCTGACCTCACCCTTCCAGTTACCAAATTAAGTAAACAGACCAGCCATGTTCTTCGGCAGTAAAACACGCCAACAAATATAAACTATAGAGGAAAAAGATGGAGGATAAAAAGCCAAATATAGAAAAAAAACTTTTGTACATAAAATGTAACCAATGCGCATTCATTTATCGGGAGAGTCAGACTGCATGCTAATGTCCATTAGCTCTCCAGAGACCTATTTTTATTTATATATATATTTTCTTTTTAAGGTTCACCACTGGCAGCATGCCCAGAAAGTAGCATTGCGGGGTAAAAGCCCAGCTTGGCAGGGTGGAATGTCTTGGAGCTGTTCCCAAAACCAAGCGTTAGAGATCTGCGTGGCTATGCCACCTGCCAATGGGAACAGGTGCTGTCATTTTTGTGGCAAAGGGGTGAATGCAGCCTCGGCCAAAGGGCAGCTCAATTTCGTCTCCAGGAAGGTGGAGTCCTTGTGCTTGTGCTACCTAATGAATTCCTGAAGTTTGAAATGGAGAAGGGAGAGGTTAAGTTTGGCTTATTTCTAAGATTTGAGGAAGTCTGAGGCTTTATCAGTTCAGTTGGCAAATGTTTCTACTATGGTGCCTATCCCAATTGTTCATTTCAACTTGCCTGCCAATTTCTCTGGGTTCTAGAAAAAAAAAAAATTGTTTTCCCAACACTCGAAACCAGCTGCATACGCTGGTTCACAATTGCAGGTATTTTGAAGTCATTTCAAATGTGCTCTCGAAAAAGTGCTTAGGCGAGGCCGATCTCACTTATCGTTGGAACTATCAAGTTATGTGGAGTGCAAGTTTGTCTGCTGTCAGAATGCCAAGCTCTCATTGGCCGATGGAAAAAAAAAGTTGTGGGTAGACCTCAAGGCATCTAGCATTGAGGTCTACCCACAATCCTTTCAGTCAAAGGCAGTCGGAGCTCGGCGTCGTTTTGACATCACCGCAACTCCTGGGCAAGCAGACAAACTTGCTGTCCGCATAGTTGCAATACCGCTTCCGCTGCTTTCCGCATCTTTGACGAGACTCGCGAACCCTTTGTGTACACAAAATGTGGGTATGGTGAAGAGAAAGTAACTGTCTCTTTTTTAATGCCCAGGCCCTGAAATGCAGCTGCTTCATTCCGTTCTACTCTGGACTCAGGCCCCCCAAAATAAACGGAGTGGTGAGTTCCTGAACACTTTTTGAGACACGCTGCTTTCCAGACAGGCCGTTTACTGTGAGCACCTTGCAGGCGTACATGGATGGCGGCTTCAGCGACAACCTGCCCATGCTGGACGAGAACACATTGACCGTGTCTCCGTTTGCGGGAGACAGTGACATCTGCCCCATCGACGACTCCTTCAACCTCATGCAGATAAACTTCAGCAACACCAGCATCACGGTACGAGGCTGGCCAGGCTGGATACCCTTCGCCGTTTTGTTGCATTGATTCTAAGTTGCATCGCTGTTGACGAGCAAAGGCGACGGTGACCGACGAAATACAATATCTGTGATATCGCCACGACTCTAGCGGACGACTGCTATTTGAGTGATTTGTTTGAGTCATTTGAGGGTACTGTAAATTGGAAAGGGTCTATGGAGCTTACCTACTGTCTGGGTGCAGCAGCACGATTTATCTAGAGCACATTCTAGACCTGTGCACTAGAAAAAATTAAGTTGCTTTGTTTTTTGTCTATGCAGCTGTGTCCCGGGAACCTGTACAGGGCTAGCCGCATCTTCTTTCCACCGCATCCTGAAATCCTGAGCCGAATGTGCCAGCAGGGCTTTGACGACGCAGTTCGCTTTCTCCAGAAGACCAGTGAGTCACCAGCTTCCTTGCCCAGCTCGTTCCACGAGAACTGTGCAGGTACATGCGTCCCGGATGTTAAACGTCCCTTTCCCCCTGCAGACATGATCTCGTGCACACGCTGTCTAGCGGTGCAGTCGAGCTTTATCATGGAGGAGCCCGAGGTGGCGGCAGGAGAGTCCACCGATTCGGAGAAAGAGGGGTCGCAGCACGCCTACGACAACTGCACGGACTGCAAGATTCGTCAGCAGCTGGCTCTTACCGACAGCCTCCCAGAGGCCATGGTCAGGGGTGAGTGATCCTCGTCTCTTACACCTGTTCCTCCAAAACAGGAACAAAAGCTCCTTTCTTTCAATATTGGAACACATTCCTTTCTATGTCCCATCAAATTGGCATATTTTAATTAAATATCGTGCCGGATAATCCATAGATAGAATAGAGCGAGCGAGCGAAAATATCCGCATTGAACTTGTGTAGAGTCGCCGCTATCACATTTCTTCTGGTCCATTGTTTCCAACTATTTTTTGGACACTTCCCCATCCCTTAAAGACCGACCACCAGTTTGTGCTTTCCACTTCCCTCGCTTCCTCCTCTCCCCCTTTCCACTCTGTCCACCGTTGCCTGCTTCCTCCTCCCTTATGGTGAGGAGGATCTTCTGCCTTGCAGAATCTAGAGTCTGGTCGTCGGTCTTTAAAGTCTGTGGTAGAAATGCTCAATACTAAACAGCCAAAATGCCTGCAGAATTCGGGCAAAATTGCAGACTACTAAAGAAAAAAAAGGAACGCCGGTCCTTCTGCCGTGTGGACCTGTGGAACGAGTTCCCGTTTCACAGGTGCAAGATGGAACGGTGCTGGTGTTCTGTTCCTCCTAAAAGGGATGCATTCAGGAAACTTTGGAATGCCATTCCGTACAACACTGCTATAATATTCGAAGGGGAGCAAACCTGAAATTTGAAGTCAGACTGCACTGTTTGCTCGGTCTCTTGTACCAAAATTCTCTGGCAAAGTTTAGCTGCAAGTTTTTAGCCGCAGCCACGCCACTACTGTGGGACCCGGTTGGTAGTGCAGTCAAACGCCATGTACCAAACCATCAAATAAACTCTGGTTCAGTCTTAACAGCAAGGTCGGTGCAAATGGATACTTAGCCCCCCTTTCTTTTATCCGTGCTATTGCCCATTGTTTATATGGACGTCTTAACTGTGTTATAGGAATGGGTTTTACTGCCACATGGGTCAAGGTCATACGAGTAATATGGCCCCTACGCTTATATGACCTTGACATGAGGGTGTCACCAACATGACATCATATCGGGCGATGTCGCTCACATGCAGCATGTGCCCAGCTCGTGCGCAACATATTCCGTGCATCTCAGAGTTTATCGGGCACGATCGAGACATGCTGAAATTGTTCTCGGACTTTCAACGCTTGGGACAAATTTGGGCGCTCCCTTCCGAGCGACGTCGACTGGGGCCCGTTTTTAACGGCGAGGTGTTCTTCCGTGCAGCCATCCAGGAGGCTTCGGACCAGCTGAACAAGGGCGTCATCAACTGGCTGTTCCGGCACCGGCCAATGAAACTCATCTCTTTGCTCAGCATCCCCTACGTCTTGCCCATCGACATCGCCATTGCCGTCCTCTGCAAGTGAGTGCCCAACTCGTCTCTCTCTCTCGACTTTGACCTTTACGGAATTGGGCCGTCTAGGGCACAAAGCAGTCATTCTCGTGAGATGAATGGCTCGAAATTCGGCATAAACAAATCAAAGAGCACTAAAAACAAACCACAGTGGGATGGTGCGCAACACAGGACTAATAATGCAAGCTCGCGCTGTGCTTTGTTGTACTAGACAATGTGAACAAAAAAAGTCAGCAGACACCAACCCTATATTTGTGCCTGGTGCATTGCAGTGTGCACCAGATTTTGCCAATTCTACAGAAGGAAAGCGGAAAATGATACGTCGGTAGCCACAAAGCTAAAAAAAACATCACGCTAACTAGTATTTTTTGGCATATCTCGAGCTTTGTTGATAAAAAAAGAAAAGGTTTACCCATTGTTTACCAAATGCCGCATCACTAGAGGAATCCACGCCCGAGACAAGTGTTCCTTAATAGGCTTTAAACTTGCGGGGAAGTGGGACGTCCGAGAGGTCTAATCCCCGACCCTTTCAGGCTCTGGCAGCTGCTGCCCCACCTCCGCAACGAGATGCAGTGCAGCCTCATGCGCCTGATGGGCTTTGCCCAATCGCTCGTCTCCAAGTTCAAGGACAGCCACCCCCTGTACAGCGCCAAGTTCTCCTGCGAACTCAACATCACCGAGTTCAACTACACCCCGGACGACCCCAAGCTCCGCTCTCGCGTCCCCTCCGGCAAGGCCGTGGCCCCGCCCCCCGCCAAGGTCCGCCCGCCGGCCCCGCTGCTTCGCCACGACCTCCGCAGTCGCAGCCTAGAAGACCTGGCCCGCGGAAACGCCCACTTCCCGCCCAAGAGCCGGGGCCACCGCAAGTCCTATGCTGGCCTCACCAACGACGGCGGCGGCAACGACCAGCGGGTGATCAGCTCCATGAACTTTGGGTTCACCATGAACCTGTCGAGCCACGACGGACGCGCCGATCGCACAGACCGCAGCGACCGCAGGCGGCGCAGGAGTGTGGTGGACGCCCTGCGCACCCTCAGCGAAGACCGCGACGAGATGGATTCGGACATGGACGCCATCGAGCTGACCAACCGGGCGCTCAACTGGGAGAAGGAGTGCATCGAGCGCTGCCAGCGCCCCGAAGGCGCCGGCCAGCTGGAGCAGCTTTTGGACGTCACCCAACGCAAGGAGGCCCTCATGGCCTTCTACTACACCGACGAGACGACGCACAAGGTCCGCGTAACGGAGCTCTTCAATGTGACCAATGCGGACACGTCTCCTCCGCTCGCGGAGGCTGCACTGCGTGCACTTCCGCAAGAGGACGTCGCCGGTCCTTCTGGTCTTGCGGCAGAAGCGACCGACGAGTTTCCCACGTTCGTCGGACCTCCGCTGCCTGTCTTTGGACCGCCGAAGGCGCCGAGGAGGAAGAACTCTGTGGTGTTTATGAGCTAAGTGGTCTCATCTGCAACCGCTCAAGAAGATTGTGAGTCGACGTTTGAAGGAGAGCAGCCCAACAGTCCCCTCGCCTCGTCTGTAACCCCCCCCTTGGCAGTGGGTTATGTCTAGTGAGAAAAACTGTGCCTGCAAAGGTGTTGCCAAGGCACTGAACTTGCCGTCTGCTATAGTGAGAAAAATGTTGCCTGCAAAGGTGTCGCCAAGGCCCTCAACTTTTCGTCTGCCTTCAAACTTTCTTCCGGCGTATGGTGGCCTCGCATCTTTGACAGTCAATGTTTGTGATCTTCATGGTTCCACGCAAAGTTCCTTTTTGAAGCACCAATCAACGAGTGCTCAAACCTCTAAGCTACGCTTCAATAATACTCTGTGGCAGCTGGCTGCTGCAAGCGACACGATGTTGAATCGAAAGAATGTCCGTTGCAAATGCCAAGCGGTGCAGAGTGTATGGAAAGACTGCTTACACACTGTACCTGCGCTTAGTCGTAATCACGAGTCGTGACAAATGTGTGTCGACCATTTATCCACATTGTTTACCATTGTCCAAGTTCCGTGTGTATGTGTCCGGATCAAATGTTTGTCTTCCCTAATTTATTTACGGATTATGCTAGCTACGCGTAACCGATTGTTTCGTGTTGCTCGTGCCAAATGCCGAGTTGGCAGCAGGCGTATAATTAAAGTTTGAGTTGACCAAGCAATGTCTGGATTGCCTCTACTTCCACGCATTAGTAGACAGATCTGAACTAATAACCCTGATCACAGGTTCCAAAAATAGTTTTTTGCAAAGTTATTGAGGTTTAAAATATTATCCGAAAGGCTGCGAGGCTCTTGCACATTGAGCTGGCAGTCTAAAATGCAGCATTTGCTTAGTTTTGCTGGCATGAGCATAACCAGCATTAATTTCACATCTTCAAACTTGTAACCCGTCGGGAACAAGCCGGTCGACATGCGTTAATTCGACCTCAGTTTATTTGACTCGTTCATTTGAGCCCTGGTTCAAAGGTTTTGGCAAAAGTCCATACATTTCTATAGAAAAAGAAAAAAACTTATTTCGACCTTGAAATATAAAACATTGGTTAATTCGACTGGCCATGCCCGTCAGTCGGCCAGGATCGGCCGCACCCGTCGGTGAAAGAACTAGGTTTCAAATTTCGACGTACACGCCAAATTGCAAAGAGAGGAAAAAAGAGCACATGGTGAGGCATGGGACACGGCTGGGTCTCGACACAAAACTGCTCTACAGCGGTGTTTCAATGGCGCTGGCCACTGCTCCCGCCACTGCACTGAATGTGTAAAGGACATACACAGCTGCTGCTAGTTCAGCGGCTCATTATAACAATGTTAGCCCACCCGATCAGAAGCGCTGGATATTCAGAATTTTGCTCTCATCTTTTAATTCGACCCAATTTCGCATGTCCCCATCAAGGTCGAATTAACTGAAGTCGACTGTAAAACATCCGAGGTCATGCTTCCAGAGTTACCAGAGAGTTACACAACACGTGACATCGCCCTGCTGATGGGGCAAAAAACGTTTGAACGTTGGTTTTGGCATCGGGGTTATTTACTGTTTTCTCAATAGCTATTCCGAGTTTAGCAATAACACGCCGGGAAGAGAAGAGAAGAGCCTGGCTATTTCGAAAAGGTGTTTAGCCGCCGCAGCTAGCTTTAAATGGAATGGAGACCTCGTTGCACAGGCATAGACTTTATTGGGCACAGACGAGGCTCGAGTTCTCCGCTTGGATCCTGTAGTCGACGGCCAGAGACCTCGAGCCCCACTTAAAACCACTCGCATCCTAAAACCGCCACAATCGTCGCTATATACATAAAAAAACGTATCACATGTCACACATCGTTAACCAAAACTTTTTGCATATACGTAACACGCGAGCTTGTGCATTGGAAAATCCTATGTTCGGCAGCATGACAAGCAGAATATTTACAACTCCGGAGAGGGGAGGGGGGACGTCAAGATGCGCGGTATTTCCATTTCCTCACGACTCGACGGAAAAGGGGGAGGCGGGATGGAACCGTGGAGGGGCTTTCGCCGAACGTCAAAAGAAGTGTTGCTACGCTCGAAAGGAAGTCTCGGGTTTTTTTCCAATGCGGCACCCTTTCCCGTCGCGTGGGGAGTATTCGCAACCGCGGTCGAAGCTTCCGCAGACTGGAATGTCGTTGCTAATGCGGAAAGGGGGCAGCCGCAGTCTGGCAGTACTGACAAGCGTCGCAATTGGCCCACTTGCTTGCACACATACAAGCTATGGAAACAAAGAAAAACAGAAATCTGTCTGGCTCGTGCGAGGCGGACGGGCGGTGCGAGCAGACTGCCTCTCGGCAACGCCACGCGTACGCTTTGTTCTTGGAACGTCGTCCCGCTAACACTCGTGAGCTGAGCCCGGGAGTCTGCGTTGGCTTTGCACGGCGCTCTTGAAACAACCCTGCAAAGTCTTCCTCACTGCAGGCACGACTGGATCTTCTCTATCCACTCCTGGGCTGCAGACGCGTCGGCCGCCATGAAATTGTACATCCTTTTGCTCGTCTTCACCTGGAAAAGAATGTGCGCAATTAACTTGAGATGCGCAAAACTCCCGTCATTTTTGTTTTCCCCTACTCGCCGACAAACAATGGCAGGCGAGGCACCCAGCCACCACCGTGTCTCCGCTCGTGTGGTCAAACGTGTGCAGTTGCGAGCCAGCCCAAGCTCATTCACGCGCTTGCAGGGGACACTGGTCGGGGTGCCAGGCAAACTGAAGAGGACCGTCTTCCTCTTTCTGGCAACTGCGCGTCAGCCTTTAAGCAAAACTCGTTTCTCGCACCACAATAGTGCAACGAGCAATTTATCGCACGCCGTGAGCCCCGTACAAAATGGATAAGCATTTCTGTGGGCTACTTCCCCCACGAGTCCTGTCCCGAGCACGCCCACTGGGCGAGGCGCAAAGCTACGAGCGGAACGACAGAGCGAAGGAAGCACTCACGTCGAAGAAGGACTTCTCGTCCGCCCTTTTCGGAGCGCCCTGGATGGCTACGGCCGGCATCACGGAGATCACTTCCGAGAGATCAATCAGACCCTTGCAGTGGGAATCCTCCACCGCATCGTAGTACCGCAGCTGAAAAGTAGGAAGGGACACACACCCTCGAGTTGAGTCGATCGGAGGACTCTCGACAACCTGGCTTTCTCCGTGATAGTGCAACAAACTGTACTAGAGCCTGAAAACACGAGCCGCACAAAGGACGTACGCGGACAGGTAGGAGAAACGGACGAGACAAGCACTAATGTGCAGCCACCATTTCTAGCATGCCCCTTTGTCCGGCAGAAAAGAGCACTCAAGTATGCCGCTCTATCGTCGTGCATTCTTTGAGCGTAAGGCCACGTAAACTACTGACAACAACTGGGCATTGTGTACATACATATCTGTAAGAAACAAGATAAAAACTAAGTAAGGGAAAACAATATACTTTTAATAGTTGGAGAGCCCAATATACTAGGAAGTTTGTTACCCAGGTTTGGGCAATTTGTGCATCGAGGTGGGCAATATGAATTTCGACAGCAACGGTAGTGACTGTTCCATTGGCAATTTAGAAGGCAATAGAGTAAGCAAAGTTCTCCCTAGTCTTTCAACTGATATGATGCTCGTGACAAACCGTAGAATACCGCGGATCCGCCCATTCCCACATTTCTAAGATCTGAGAAAATATGCACGAGTGATTGATACGTAAAATTGATGACTGGACAAACGCCCAACCCCCATTTCTTCGCGATTGTCTCTAAACATTGAGTGGGCGCTTGTCCGGCATTTAACGGTAGTCAACGAGGAACCGAGTCTAGCACTTTTTTCTCAGCCTTTCTGGGGTGCAGCGCACCAAAGATTAGTCCACTTAACTCCCTCCCCTCACCCGGCCTCCAAAGAGGGGTGTACGCTAGTATAGCCTGTCTCACTAAAGCTGTGGAGTACAGCCAAAGCTACCAGGGAGAGAGTGCATACCAACCTGTTTAAGAGGAGGGAAAGGAGGAATGGGAGAGAAGGGCTGGGATTCCTTTGTTCCTCCTTTCTCTCCTCTTGAACTCTCTCCCCTGTAGCTTTGGCTGTACTGCACGGTTTTAGTGAGACAAAGTATAGAGGTCTGCATGGGCCAATATTTAGGAGCCCGGCCCGGTTCGCTCTCTCTTGGGCCCACCCACGACCCGTTATCCATTTCCGACAGCAGGACCGGTCCAGCCCAACGGCAATTTTCACGGGCCCGCCCAGGTCCGCCTTATTTTCGCCTGGGAAAAATAGCTCGCCAATTGTGCAGCATGGCAGCTCACTTGCCACTGATACACATATTGACTACGGTACCCGATGGTCAATGCAGCAAGCATCCTTTTTTTTCTTTTTTTTTTTGCCGGTATTTTTAGTCAGACCAATCTGCGGGTCAAGCGGTCCGACCCGCAGATTGGACCGTTTTGCGACGAAACCCGCATGTCCGAAAGGACAGAGAAGTACAAATGGCAAGCAGCAGTAAACAAATCCACGTGTCAAAGTTGAAAAAGAAGGGAAATGTTGCAATGGGTTTGGACAAATGATGAGCTAAGTTCTAAATTGCCCACTCCTGCTGCGTACAACAAAAAAAAAAAATTATAAAATATTGCCGTTTTTGGAGGTGGTCTCGGAGATAATGTTTAGGAAAAGCACCCGAGGAAAACCTTTTGACCGATACTGCGGATGCACACACTCCTACATACAGATGGTTTATGCCTGCGAGGGTGCGCATTCTGTAGGCGCCTACATGTGTGCATCTTGATGGGGGAAAGTGACTGTACGACGGCGGTGTGCCGGTGGCAAAAAGAGCATTTGCTGCAGGCACATACGCACAAACACACACGTTTTCAGTGCTTGGGTCTCCCCCCCCCACTACGATCATTCCCCGCCCCCCCGCCCCCCCGCCCGCCCGCGCCCGCCCCGCCCCCCCCCCCCCCCCCCCCCCCCCAACTCCCGAAACCAACTTTTAAAAACATTGCTGCAAAAAAAGGTAAAGGCTGGCTTGGCCCGCATCGGTGTAGACTCGACTGCAAGGCCCGTGCCCGGCTTTTCATAAAAGTAGCCATGAAGCCCGGCTGGCTTCACGGGCAGACCTGTGCAGACCTCTAGGCTAGGCTATCTCGTAGGATGTTGACGTAGAAAAGAGAGATACAAAATGAATAAAGGCTGTGGAGAAATGGGCAGGCTTAGAAATGGCACAAAACAAAAAAAAAGGATGAAAAGGAAGATATAGTGAGCGTCTGATTTGGGCAGAAAAATTCTGGCCGGGGTTTGAAGTGCCTCACCTGGTGCTTTGTGGAGTCGAGGACGAACCAGCGCTGCTTCCAGCCCTTGAGCAGGGCCCCCCTCTTGAACAGATAGCCTTCGTGGGTGCGGTTCTCCGGGCAGTGCGACGAGAACTGGTCGTAGTATGTCGTGTGCATGCCTGCCAGCGGACAGAGCCACATGTAGAGGCTAGATACACCTTGCAGGAAGCAACAGCAAAGCGGTGCCACACTCCAATTATCATTTTCACCCCCTCTTCGAACGAATCGCTGCCAGGCATCGGGAGTTTCAAAATGGCGGCCTCATAAAAGCTGGGCAGGCGAGGTGAACAAAGGCTAGCAGTTTCACACTTTCTTGCCAAGAGGAAACTCATAACCGCTTATTGGTCACTCAATAAACGGGAGTACCAACTATGTTTATGTTTGCATATTTGCATCACCATTGCATGCCGTCGGCGTATAATGGTGCTTTAGACGCTCGAGCCGCGAGTTTCTAAAGCCGAGTTACCTGGAGGTCAGGAACTATGTGAAATACCTCGAAGGTTACCCAGGTACTTCACTGTAAAGAAAAAATGGTTTGCAGGTTGGCTTTGCAGGCTTTGTCCCCGTTGTTCCCCTTGTCCAGGGATTACTTTTGCCATTCTTGTCCAGCTCGCTTACACCTTAGCATTTAATTTGCATTATAATCATGCCTATACACGTTTTTAATTTTTAAAGTGATAAAGAAGCAATTCCACCTTTCCCTCTCTTTAGTGTACGTAGCGCCGCTAACAAACCTCATAAGCCTTTACACCTTTTTGTTACAAAAGTGCCGAGGAGTTGGGGCTCTCGCAACTGCCTCTGAAAGGAGATCGGGTTTTGGGGAAATCGCCAAGACTCAAAAGGACCTAGACAAGCAGTTGACTAACTCAATAAAATGCTTAGATGGGCCAGTTGGTACATCATGGGAAATAAGCGTCAAAGGAACAGGGACCAAGGGTAGAACTACAACGACACAGGGCACTGTGAAGGGTGCCAGAACCAGCCTACCAAACAGTGTACCTCACTAACAGAACCTTGACTTGGCCACTCCTCGCGCAAATGCAGACTTGAAGCCCATTGTGCAAAAATAAATTCTTCCCAGCAGAAGATCTCTCTCCTTCATTTCCTCCTCCAATTTTCTTTTCACCTCTTTCTCGCATGCGCAACGTCTAAGCGGCATATGGCCCCCCCAAACCTGAACAGCAGGGATTAGTCACACCGGCAGGAAATGAGCACCGAGGGGGGCTGTAGCCAATGCTCACGAGTTTCTTTTCGGGAAGGACCTTTCATTCCTAAGCACGGTGGAAGCTACGTGGTCGTCGGACCAGTCCCACGTCTATCTTGAGCCGTGTCCAGGGGACGGGGTCATGTGATCAAAGGGAGGCGGATGATTGGTCCAGCCAGCATGTAGCTCTTACCGCACTGTCAGCTCGAGGGTCAACGGATATTTTACGTCCTTTCCTTTTAATAGCGCCAACAGCGCTGAGGAGCTCGTGTCGCAGAAGATCTGGCGTCAGCGTCAGTGGGACCGTAAAATCTCATAATGCAAAGTGCACAGCCACGCTTGATGTCACACGTGGTTGTGACGCCACAACTCTATTGACCCACTAAATTTAGCGCAAAAATTTCTCGCCAAATTTAGTGGAAAATTTTTCCGACGAACCCCCTGTCAAATTTAGCAGAAAATTTTCGTCTAAAATTAGTGGGTTGATAGGGTCATGACGTCCCAGCCACATGTGACACGTCGTCACGAGTGACATTATGTGATATCATGCGACGCTACCAACTAGATTACGCACGCACACACGCTTGCACGGCTTCAGAACGAGTGCGGGTTTATACGAGAAAGCTTTGAAAACGGGGCCCGGTCAACACTGTCGCGTTCCACTCTTAAAGGCCACTTAAGCATCCCCCAAGTTTCTTTCTTTTATTGTGTGCCAAGCTAAGTGTGTTTGTTAAAGAGCACAGATATGTCACCAAGAAATGACGACGGCTCACATGTCATTGTAAGCCCTTTTTCCGCTTATTAAGAGGTTGTGCGAGGATACCGAGATGTCTCAGAGAGGCACAGTGGAGCTTTTGTGGTCATGGCACTTAATAAATCGTCGTTATTTTAAGCGTTTGCTTCTTTTAGAAGAGAGTTGAACATTGGTGGAGTTTACATGAATGCGACCGCCAGGCACGTAGCCAGGATTTTGTGATTTGGGGAGGGGGCACCCATGACAAAATGCTGTATGAGGGGGAGGGGGAAGAGGAGGTCTCAGAAAAATGGAAGATTTTGGGGGGAATCCAGCCCCCCCCCCGGCTACATCAAATCGAGAGGTCACTAATCACGCGTCTCCTATCCTCCTTTCCCTTCCTCTTCTTCCCAATCATAGGTGGCAAATCACGATTCGATTCGCTACGGTCGCATCCATGTCAAGCCTGTCTCGTGCCAACCTCAGCCGGAAACGCTAAGCAGATTCTCTGCGACAGCCCCTGACATTTGTATTAAAAGAATAGAAATGTCAGGGGCTGTCGCGGAGAAGAACGACGAGCCTCTCAACATTGTGACCAGTAAATTGGTCACAATTTACTTGTCGCAACCAGTACACTGCAATGTACTGGTTGTGACAGAGTGATTGATTTGCGCGATTCATTATTTTAAATATTTTGAAATTCTCAAATTTGTAAAAATTAGTTCTTCGGAAAAATGAGTCCATTGTAGTATTTGACGTGATTGCTGAAACAGTAAAAAACCCCACATTTCGTTCTCTAATAAAAAAAGCTCACAAAAAAAGAGAGATATTTAGAATAGAATACTTCAGACAGCAAACAAAGGTCTCGTTCAGAAAAAAAGCTGTCGTTGATGTTCCCTCGTCGGTAAAACGCTTTCTAAACAGTTGTTGAAATGAACGAACCGCACAAGGAATCCAATGGGGCAAGCGTGCGAGGAGAATAGCAGCTTGGCTTTCTTCAGTTTTAGTTTCTGCTCTGCTCAGCCCAAAGCTGACGAAGCGGTGGGAGCTACGTGCTGGCCGGACCATTCAAACGCTTCCTTTCATTGCCTGCCCCGCTGTCTGCGCATAGGTATGGGCGGGGCGTATCCACGCTGGGAAAGATGGGCATATGACAGGTCCACCGCAGTGTCGGCACTTTGAGTCCGAGGGTTCAAGTGAAGACTAGCGTCAAGATGGGGGAAGTAGAAAAGAAAGAAGAGGTGGCTTCCGCATTTCTTTGCGCGATTAGCAACTGGGCGCTAGACTAATCTTTTTCAATCCCAAATGGCGACGTAAAAGGGAGTTCTCTTTCCATCTTTCCCGCTGCGGGAAAAACGGCGAAGAAAAAAATTGAAGAGAGTAAGCTTGCTCCTTCCTGCTCGTTGGTCGGCCTTTAAGACAACTTTCCCAAATCACACCCAAGACGCAATTTGGACGACTTTCATCGCTGAACATGAGTCGGCACATGCGGACGAGCAACCGGGTGTCGCGACTCTTTCGTTCCCCAACCGAGAAACGCCCACCGGCGATTTGGGACCTTTGGCGGGACACCCACCGGAGCCGATGGAGCCGCCGTCGGCGTTGGCGCCCTTGGCCATGGCCACCGAGCTGGGGTCCGGAGCCACCGACTTGTACTTGGTGCAGTTCTTGGGGACCGACGGAAGGCACTTCTCGTGGCAGTTGTAGCCGCAGTCCACGCAGTGCATCCCTGCACGCACCCATTGCTCTCCATTAATAAACCGAGACCCGTCCACTTTACTACAATCCCTGGTGTTTGCTACTCCTTATCAAGTGTCAGTTATGTTGGAGCTTTTGGCTGCGCAAGCATTACAACCAATGAGGATATTTCCATCTGTTTGCGAGTCTAAACATCTTGGCGAGAACTTCTCGGAGCCACCGATGTGCTTATCCCAAGCGCAGCTTTGTCTACTGCTCGGTGTCAGTTCATGCGGCAACAAGATAAAGCAACACTTGCGCAGCAAGCGCAGGCTCTCGGTCGCTTCCTTCGTGAGATAGCGGACGCTCATCATTTAATTTGGATCCCTTTGGCATTGGACTGACAATCCGCCTTTCTTCGCCTCCGTTAGTAGGCGATGTGCTGGCATTTTCTCATTTTCATTGGCTAATAACACTTTCTAGCAGATAAATGCCATTCCTCACTCGTGTTAACAGAGGAGCCATCGGCTACAGTCAAGTACAGAATAAGAACAGCAAAGCGCATCATTCAAATGCCCGGCCCCCAGCCTCCCGCCGTACTTTGGCATTGTCAATATCCCAACCAGGATAACAAAGTTAGATATATCACTTTCGCTCCAACAGCAACCAAAATTGGTAGCATAATGTCCGAAGAGGTGGCCCACCTCTAGAAATCGTGTTTTCTAAGGCCAGGTCCTTTCAGTCATAGCGTAGGAGTGTTAACAACACCAGTGTGCCCTTTCAACATAGAAGGCAAGTGGTCATCAAAGCCTTTGCCTTTCACACTGTCTCGTGGTGTGGTCCTGGGCAGCTGATGTCGGCACCAGTGGACGAAGATCCGAGTCAAGCATTTTCTTTCAACTTCTTTCGGGGTGTGTACCAAAAGCTAGACCACCGCACTTGGCCTCTGGGGGTAGTGGGGGGGTCATCCCTTCGGATCTCCTTGGTTTTTCAAGTAGGGCTTGGCACTAACCAACAATCTCAGTGGGGTAAATCTTTCGATACTAGGAAACAGACGGCGAAGCGGCCCCTCACCCGTTTTGACGAGGCCCCAGAGGATGCTGGAGCAGAAGTCGCAGTACGTGGGCGTGGTGTAGTTGTACCGGTCGAAGCGGTGCGGGTACACCTGAGGGGGCGGGGCGCAGGTGCCGCCCGGGGCCCCGCCCCCTTCCAGGGCGCCACCCGTCATCTTGCCCCGCACCAGGAATTCAATGGTGGACCGCTTGTGCACTGCGCGGCCGTGCGAACGCACCAGCTCCACGTTGAACGACGAGTGGCGCTGCAACGACAAACCTGCCAATTGCGAGAGCGTAGACACAAATGTTGCCCAGATTCCGGGTCGCTACGGCAGATTCTCCTTTAGATCGGGTAGTTCTATTTCGTCGACTGAAAGTTTCTGCAGTGCAAAGCATGCCCATCTTTTGAAAAGGGAAGTACAGCAAATAAGATTAAAAATCGCGAGTGAGTCCACTCACCACCAGAGTGTCTACGATGGGAACGTCCAGCTTGTTCCAGAGGACGTGCCACTTCTGGGGCAGGTGGCCCAAGGCAGCCTCCTGGTCGTGCAGAGCCTGGACACCAAACAATATGAGCCTCGATGAAACAACTCCCAAGTTTCTGGACCGACGACACACGGGTGTAATGTCAAAGAAAATTGAGCAAACGGGACACAATCTTCGAGACTGGCAAGAGTAGCCTGTATTACAGCAATTCGTCGGAAGTGTGGGTCCATGGCACGCAGTTCTTACCGGCGAAAATGTTTGCCGGGCAATTTGCGAATAAAAGAAGAGAAAAAAGACTTCGGTTACAGAAAGTGCTCCTTTCGCACGAGTGCTCGTGGAAATAGAAGCGATTTGCGGGGCCCGAGCAAACTGCTCTTGTACCTGTGCCTCCTCCAGCCTGGAGCACCAGTTTAAAGATTGAGTGCAGCATTCTTGCCAGAGAATGCACGGTGGCGAAGATACGTCGCACCCTGCTTGAACGAATGTGGGCAAACTTCCGAAAAAGTGGTATAGTCGTTGGCAGATGGCTCTCCAATCGGCAGAACCACACATCGAGCAATAGATGACTGCCACTTTTCAATAAAGACTGAAAGATTTGTTGCAAACAGCATGCTCCCACGCAATGAAACTCGCTCGAGTGATCCGTCTGCCAAAGCGGCGCCTACATGGGTCAAAATGAACCAGTGGACCAGTTGGTTACGCATCCAAAATAAGGGACATGGACTAGTCACCGACCAACGACAACAGTTGCTGTTCGGCACTTGTCCCGTTTTTTCCTCTAGTCCTTGTTTTGCGCCGTGCTTATAACTGCTTCGATCAACTAACGAAGATAAAGTCAGGGTGCAAACAAGCCGGTGAACATTAGACATAACACAACCGCAAGACTGCAGGCAAGCAAAGGATGACACACGCAGCTCAAGCTGCCGGGGTTGTGTTAGGTTCGATGAACCCCTCGTAAACTTCTCTGGGAGGCAGGGGTGGACGCACCTCCAGCAGCTGCGTGAAGACGTCCACCTGGAGTCCGCCGACGTCGTCGTAGCACGGGTAGAGGATCTTGCGAGCCCCTCCCGGCACCAGGGAGCCCCTGGCCCCCCTGGGGTCTGGGCCCCTCTGGCCCCGCTCCAGGAACACCAGCTCCGGATCGTACGGGGGCCCGTGCTCCAGGGTCTCCTCCAGGTAGTACTCCCAGATGTGCAGGTTCGAGATGTTCGAGTACGGACGCAGCACCTTGGAAAGGGGTCGTGCTCTCAAAATTTATTTATTGTCGTGCGGAGCGCTTGATGACACCGTCTAGGTACACCCGCCGGCAAAATGAAGGTGAACTCGTTACCTGGTTTCTTGCCTGTTTTACGGCTCCCGAAAGCTATATTAACTCTCAACGTCTCAAATGGTACGTGGCTTGGGGGTCTAAACTTTGCGTTCTAGCCCTCTTCTGAAACAGAGCTGGATCCAAAACCTGCAGGAGCGTCAAAAACAAGAGGAGGGCTGTTCACCTTCATATCGCTCACGGGTGTACCTACTACAATCAAGTTTTTGCTTCCGAGCAGCTTATTTACGGAGGAAACGTCAAATCGATACAGCCAACATAAAGGAATTTATTTATTTATTTATTTAATATACCTCAAAGCGCCCTTTCGGGCATTGTATGAGGGGGGAGTACACATTTTTTGACAAAAATTATAGAACAATAAATTTCATACACATTTGCTCTAAGACAAGAAAGAATTCAAATATACCCACTCAAGAAAAAGTACACTCATACACAAATAAAAATAATGCAATATACCCACTCAAAAGAAGAACACTCGTACACAAACAACAGGAAGCATCGTGCCAACCAGGCTACAGGAAAAGAAATCAAATTATCTTTGCACATGAAAAACAAAAAGGAAACCATCCTCTGACTCATTCCTGGGAAAAGTGGAATAAACGTTCACATGTAGATTTGAATTCATTTTTATCTCTGATATCTACAATGTGGTGGGGCAATGAGTTCCATTTTCTAATGGCAAGCTGCAAACTTGGTTAGTGTGACAATTTGATAAGCCAATTTTATGATGCAGCATTCGAGACTGTGGAACTTCCTCGGATTCCTTCACTTCCTGCGACGGTACATTAAAACTTCTCTTAAATCGAAATGTTCCCCATGCTTCGGTGATCGTAAAAGCTATACATGCTTCGTATCTTTTATCCTTTTTCTTAACAAAGATGCAACTAGAGGCGGCTTATTACTTCGCGAGTATTTCACGTCTCGTGTTGCATGTAACCAGTGAAAAGGGAGAATGGTACTTCTACGTAGTAAGAAACGACGGAAAAACACGGAGGTCTCAGCTGAATTTATTTGACAAACTATGGTTTTATATAGCCATCAAGAATGCATACAAACATGAAAGAAAGGAACGAAAAAAACTCTTGACAGACACACAAAAGGGCAGTGACCACACATAGGAAATGGGAAACATATAGAGAGTTAATCACCTCTCCGAGAACCTCCCTTTTGTTAAAAATGCACAGACAAAAAAAAAAAATAAAAAAAAAGCAGGAAAAAGCTTTAACGCTAAAAGATGGGGTCGCCTCTCGTTTAACAAAAGAAGGCCCGAACTTGATAGCTAGAACCGAAGTGAGGGGGCGGAATGCTCTTGAACAGGCAAAAAAACAAAGCATGATATGACGGAAGGTGAAGCTGGACCGAGAAACAAGGCAATCAAACTTGGAGGAAGCTTCCAAGTTCTGTGCCTAACTAAACTTAGGGAAGGTTTGTTTATTGCATTTTCATTATTCATAATAGTTAACTCTTTGATTAGGCATTTATGATCATTTCTCTCCGTCAGTACCGCCGACTTTAACTGCCACAAAGGAGCACAATGCTTACATTCCGCTACATGCTTTGACATTTCCGAGTATGGATCCTTGTTCTTGATACGACGTTTGTGCTCGGTAAGGCGATCAATGACCGTGCTTCGTATGTCCTGTGTAACATAAGCCACACTTGGATGGAATCTTCTCAGTTACTCCCGACACGCAACCAACTTCTTTTTCTCAGTGCTTTTTCTACAATCAGTCGTGGGAAACAGAAACGGGGTCATTTGACTCGACTCAAAATCATTTCTGAACACTGTGCTCCCACCATACTTGTTAGCAACAGACGTAAGATTATGCGAAATTTGCTCCAAAACGGTAAAATGCGCGTTGAAGAGAAGACCCAATTTCCTTTTATGTGAACACTTTTAACAAACAATGTTCTAAAAGAGATAATTCATTCTTTGTATGTTTTGCGCTTCCTACCGGTGGTCACTGCTCTTTTGTGTTTCTGTCAAAAGAGTTTTTTTCGTTCCTTCCTTTCTTTCATGCTTGTATGGGTTCTTGATGGCTGTATAAACACCAACTTTTGGCAAATAAATTCAGCTGCATTTGAAACCTCCGTGTTTGTCCATCTTGTTTTTCCCAGTCTCGGGCTGTTTTTACTCAACTGCCACCAGCTTGTTGGCATGTTCTGCTCAATGACAGTTTTCTCCCAGAAATACTAGAATTTTGGGTCTCAAATATTTGTTCTTTGTAGAAACCTCACGGGTCGTGCTTCCGCAAAAACATGGACGGGCGCCTCGTCACAAACCCCCTCGGCGAGGGACGGGACGGCAAAGGGATGCGGCCCCCAAAAGCGCAGACTCACCTCGTCCTCGAGGTTGGCCGAGTACCAGAAATTGTAGAAGGCGGACGACTTGGACCACAGGCGGTCCGCGTACTCCCAGAAGGAGGGGGCGGCGGAGGCCCGGGCGGAAGACGCGTGCGCAGCGGCCGACTCCTCGTCCGAGCCGCTCTCCGTGCCGGGCATGGCCGCCGCGGCCCTGCCCGTGCGGTGCAGGCTGCCGCCCACGAAGGACGAGCTGCTGGAGGGCGCCGGGAGCCAGCCCCACTCGGCCCGCTCACACTCCGAGTCCAGCAGGAAGGTGCGGAAGCGGCACGACACGTGGTGGTACGCCAGGAAGCGCAGGAACAGCTCGTTGAACTCGAAGGACATCGGGAACTGGCGCAGCAGCTGGGGACGAGTGGAGACGGTCATGGCGGGCAGCACCACTTTCCTGGGGTCTGACGCCAAGAGACGCAGGGACAAAAAGTGAGAGGCAACGTGGGACGAGGCGTCCCTGTGGTGCCTCCCACTTTTTGCCAACGCGTTTCTTGGCGTAAGACCCGCGTATGAATCGGAACCAACCAACCCAACCTTCACTCTTAAGGGGGGACACTACCCTGAAAAAACAATTTCTGCAAAAAAAACGTTCATTTTGAAAAATGTCGTATTTACATCCACCAACACCTAAAGGGTATTCCTAGAAGGTTTCATTAGATTGTACTGCATAGTTAACTTTTTATAAATTATTTTCGGTCCATCAACGCTAAAGAAAAGGTAGAGGTCGGAGCATTTTGAACGCATTTTTCTCCATTCCACTTTCTGGCATAAATTTCACTTTAGGAAAACTATTGTTTTGTTATTACATAACTTGGATTCATTTTTATGAGTTTTTCTGGGGTGAAATTTTAAGGGGAAGATAACTATGAGCTTGTATTTTTTATTTTTGTCATTTTTCATGCTCAAAAACAAAAATTTTGAACAAAAGATGGAAATCTAAAAAACTGTATTTGTGTTTATGTGGCTTTCTTGTCATGAAAGATGGTATAACATAGAAATATAGCTCCATAGTTATCTGCTCTGAACTGTCCTAATGCAATATAACACATGAAAACGACAAATTTATAAGTAATTTCAAATCGATAGTTTTCCTACGCCGGCGCGCCCACTTTCATCTTTGAACGTTTGCAGTTTTTTTTGTACTTCACCCAGGTTAACAAATTTTGGCAGAAATGTTTTCAACATTAACAGGAACAAGCCCTGTAAATATAATTTAAATCAAACATGTGGTTCAAAAATTTACTTTTTTGGGTAGTGTCCCCCCTTAAGTCAAGGTCAAATTGGATTTGTACTATTTGAGCGTGTTGGTGGCTTTTGAACAATTAGAAAGAGGAGACACGAGGGACGACACAGATGGGACAATTTTTGAATTTCAACTACATTTATTTTCAACTTCAAGCACACTGCCCGACTGCTCCGTGAGAAGAAGGGAAGGGGAAACGCTAGGGAGAAGGCGGGAGGGGGGCGAGAGGACTGCAATTTCTCCTAGTGTTTCCCTTTCCCTTCTTTCCTTGCATCGATCGGGCACTGGGATTGAAGTAAAAAATAACTCTACCGTAAAATCCCAAAAGGATGCCCTCCCCCAGAGATCACTCATCCTGTCTTTCTGGCTAAATATCGGTAACATAAAAATTTCAAAACATTGCCCTCCTCCGATTCCCGTCGGATGTCACACGATGTCCGACAGGAATTGCATCAACCGTGCAACCAGCAGTATGTCATGTCCAGGAGGTCAAGTGGGTTCATAGCGGGTTCCCACGTTTTTGTTTGCTATCTGCGTGCACGATATGGGCTATCGTAACATGCAAGTTTGTGGCAGGTTCCCGCGTGCTTATTGCATCATGAAACTTTAATCTGCTGCATCTACGATCTGCGGTATCCATTCCCATGAGATGCGAGATCTCGGAGGGTTTGCGCGGTTCCTTCGCTCCGTGAAACGTGAATCTGCTGCATCTGCAATGCGCAGTATCCTTTCCCGTGACAGAGGAGCTCATAGCGAAATCCCACAAGTTTATCGCATCGTGAAATGTGATTTTGCTGTGTCTGTGATATGCGGTATCAGTTCCTGCATCACATGGTTTGTAGTGAGTGTCCTGGTGTTTATCATTAATATTTGATAAAGTTTTGCTCTCACATGCTTGAAGATAGCCCCACCCGATGTTTTTCGCAATTTTAAGGTTGAAAGATTCTCCCGTCTGTGTCGTCACCTATGTGTCTTCTTTTTCTAATATTTCAAATTGGATGTACGGAAATTTACAGACAAGAGAAAGTCTTGGAATGTGGCGACTCGTGTCTTTGGCTTCTTGCCACCTTGCACCACCGAGAGCTTTTGGAAGTGGCATGGCTAAAGACATGAAAACACGATTCTTGGCATTAGCCCGTGTTACTCATAAGACAAAATGCAAACGACAGCACAAAATGTGCCGCAATTGACAGTGGTAGCTGCTGCATTGTGGAAAGGCACGTTAAAGGAGATTTGCCTTCAGCCAGTATGCCGTACAATGTTTGCAATGGGTTCTTTGCTTTCAGAGGAGTTGATGCAGGAGACGTGTGTGAGATGCATGCTTAGGAGAAGGGTGTTTCAGCCTCTCCGGGGCTGAAACGCCCTTTCAGAATGGGGTCGCCCGTGACCGTACCTGCGGTGGAAAAAGCGAAAATATGTATGCAACCTTTTCTGTAGAGGCGCAGAGAGGCACGAGAATGGAACCTGCGTGGCGGGAGTGGGGAGACGACTGAGCGTGTCAGCGCTCAGTCGTCTCCCCACGCAGCTACTTCGCAACAGAGGCTGCCTGAGGGGGTGGGAAGGAAGGGAGAGCGTCGCCAGAGCAAGAAAGCCTCGCCCATTGAGGAACGACGGTGGCTAGCATTCGGTGAGCTGGCTTTCGGAGAGGGAGAGCAGTGCCTCTGCAGTGGAGTGGGGTTTTGCATCTGTACATGAGCATCTTTTTTTTTTTTTTTTTTCTAGGAAGGGCACTAACATATACAACCATAAAATAGAAACAGTTTTTCCTCAGGTTTATTCACTTTAATTTGACATAATATACGCCAAGAAGACCGCCCACTACTTAAGTAATGAGCATAGTGATGTACCGTATTTATTCGAAAATAGGTCGACCTCTTCATGAATAATGCCTGCGCAAGCATTTCTCTGCAATGCTCAAGAAAAGCCAATCATCAGGATTTCTGCGAGAGGCCCGGCGAATGACGAGGCACGACAACGTCGGAAGACGAAAATAACATCTGTGTAAATCCTTTTTTTTTTTCTCCAAACGTCATTTTTGTTTTGGCATTTGCCGGCTCCTTTTGTACGTCTAGATGAATTGGTCTCCATGGGTTCTCTGGGAAAGTAGATGCGCGGGTCTGTTCATAAAAAGGACGACCTTTTTTGAATAAATAGAGCACGCAAGGACCCGTCAAACCAGAGAGCATCCAGTCGTGTCCCAAGCACCGCAAAATCCGGCGAGCGTTGCGCTACAGCGAGCACGCTCTCAGAGTTGCCCAAGTCGGTTTCTTGTAGGCAAAGAGGAGAAACAAAGCGCCCACCTGATGCACCACGTCGAGGAACTGGAGGAAGATGGGTGCAAAGCCGCTGGTGGCCGAGGCGGCCGTCTGGTTTCCCCGGTACGAGAACCGGTGACCGAATGCCAGCCACTCCTTCTCGATGAGCACCCTGAAGCCCTCATAGGTTCGGTAGTAGGGGTCCAGGCACAGCTGGGTCACCGACGCCACCTGCGCGCAACCGACAGTCTTTCCCTCAATGTCTCTTTAAATACCACCGTTAACTTACCCAAACTTGGGAATCCTGCCAATTTTGCGTTAAGCCCCCGATTTGATTGGACAAGCGCCCATGTCGAGATTAACCCAGTTTTCAGCGAAAGTTCGGTGCGCACTCCCCCGGTATTTAACGGTAACGAACCTGCCTTACCTACAGCCAATGAATGTTCTCGGGATACTGAGACAGCTAAGCATCATCTCGGAACCGAGTCTCAGTGCCAAGGTAGACAGCTACGGTATGGCAGCCCCGTGCCATAGAGTAAGACCAAAGTACCTTCGTGTGTGCCAATACTCCAATATATGAAGGCAAATCGAGTAGTAGCTTCACAAATAATTCGATTCGCGAATGGAATTCCTGGTGTTCGGTCCCTCGAATATTTGGCGTATTCGGCGTGAGACACGTGGTCAGCGGTAGGCACAGAGCCGACGGACAAAAGGCCCGTTGTTTTTCTCGCGTTTGTAGTGAATCTCGATGTTGAACAGAACATTCGAAAAACAGATTTTGGTTAGACCGTTTCACTAAACTCTAGTGTGCGGGCTAGAAATAAATAAACGGCACAAATCTCATAGGATTAATAACGATCGTGACACAGTCAAATGAATTGTTGGGATGTTGGAGTAAACAATGCTGCACCGTGTCTTATTTTCTTCGCGACTAAAAGCCCCTTTTTTTTAAATCCAAGCATCTTAGCAAAACACACTCGACATGCTTCAAAGAGATGGCCGACCGTAAGATCATACAGTCGAGCCCGGTTACATCACACTAGGGTATTTCGAATTATTTTCAATATCGTTCAGTCCAAACATCCCCTTGAAAATCACATGTAATAAGATAGGAACGTTGTCTTTTTGTATCAAACTCCCAAGGCGGGGACACTCGATATAGCGACCAAAGCCCGGCCGCCCGTAGCTTTCACGCGATCCGATTGCGCCAGCGGCGAGCACATCATTTGCGTTGCGGGGCTGGCAGACCGCCAAGCCAGCATACATGCGGTAAAAAAAGAGAAACAATGAATTGTAAAAAAAAAAAAAAACTTTCAGCCTTTCCACTTTGGTGAAGAAGGAAGACGAGCGAAGCTGTACTATGATAGGATGATCTCAAGCACGACTTCTTGGACGACCTCAAGGACGACTTCTAGGACGACCTCAAGGACGACACCTTGGATGACCTCAAAGACAATGTCTAGAATGACATTGAGGACAACCTCAAGGGCGACCTCGAGGACGTCTACGACGACCTCGAGGACGACTTCTGGGACGATCTCTAGGACAACCTCAAGGATGACTTCTAGGACGACCTCAAGGACAACGCCTTGGACGACCTCAAGGACGAAGTCTAGGACAACATCAAGGACAACCTCAAGGACGACCTTGAGGACAATGTCTACGACGACCTCAAAGACGACTTCTGGGACGATCTCTAGGACAACCTCAAGGATGACTTCTAGGACGACCTCAAGGACAACCTCTCGGACAACCTCAGGGACGACCTCAAGGACGACATCTAGGACGACATCTAGGACGACCTCAAGGACGACTTCTAGGACGACCTCGAGGACGGCATCTAGGATGACGCCTAGAGAAATTCAGCCTTTCCACTCTGGTGAAAACCAGAGTGGAAAGGCTGGAAAGGTTGCCGCAATTTATGAGCGAGGCCGGCAAGCCGGTTGTCTGGTTGCCACCGTCGCTCAAAGATGGCAGTAACTGTCCAGAGTTTTGTGTCGACATTTCTTTGCGGGGGACACTATCCTCCCAAAACTAGCCCTTAAAGGGATGCTGAACCGAAATTTTGATTCCACAAAACACGCGGTAAAAGCATGCAATGGGATGCTACAAACACCAAAACATCACTGATACAGCGATATCTCGAACAGATGACCAAATTTTTCAAGAAAAGGAGGCGCATTTGACAGAGATGATGTCGTCATGTTTCTCCGAGAAGGAGAGGGAACGGCCTCGCGTCTTCTTTGCCTCACGGCCTTGAGGGAGCGAAGCGAAGAAAGGAGGAAACTCGGTATAATGATGTCACGCGCCTTGTCGGCCTGGTTCCATCTCGACATCTTTTTCCAAAAATATGGCCATCCATTCGAGATATCGCCTTACGAGTAGTGTTGTAGGGATTGTAGCGTCCCACCTACATTTCCTGCATATTTTTTCTGAAATCCAAATTTCGGTTCACCATCCCTTTAAAGCTCCGCTGTAAAAAGTGGAGGATGGCAAAAGCAAGGAGAAGGGCATGCGGGTGCGCGCAGGGAGAGCAGGGAATGCCTGCTGTCGGAACAGTAGACTGCGCCCTTTCCCCAAACACTGCTGATGCTGGGCGACTCCCTAACCCCAAAATAAAATGAACAAAAAAAAAAGGTTTGTTAGGTCACCGCATGAGGCCCTTTCATTCAAGGTCATAGGTCTGCCCCCCCCCCCCCCCCCTAGCCTTGTTCTCCCAGTGCTATTTTCGTTACAGTCCTCTAAGGACTGTAACAAAGATCCGACCCTTCATTGTGGAGGGTCCGATGTCGTTTCATTGCTTTGTGCCAAACAAAAGTGGTGTGAGTAGAGATGGGTCTTTCCCTTTCTTTCAGTTTGTTCAACCCTTATATAAAGGGTTCTGTCCACAATAAAAATTTTAGCTGCATTTGAGACGTTCTCCTTCTCTTCTCTTGGTGTGAACTTTCGTATTCCTCATCCTCGGGTCTCTTCAAAATGACTCGCTTTTACTTTGGCAACATGAAAGAAGGCACAATAGTGCTAACTTTGAGTCTTTGTTGCAGCATGTACTGCCTCCCAGAGTGAACACCCTTTTTCCATATCCAGTATATACGAGAGAGATAACAGCCCGTCCCCACCTAACTGGACGGCAACTTGCACCACCTAGCCTCTATGGCACGAGACAGTACCACCCACCTGGCACGTGAAATCCCAGCCATCTTCCAGGCACAGCATGACCGAAGACCCCTGGACGTCGATCAAGTCGACGGCAGCGCCGGAGAGTTGCAAGATGCACTGGAGCTGCGCGAGTGCACCACACAAAAAGCCCCTTCATTCCGAGACCTTTCTTTTTTCCCTTTTATCCGAACGGTGACCCATACAAAGCAACAAAGAGAGCAGCAACGCGACAGTGTGCGCTAGAATGCAGCAGCCGCAAGCACCAGAGGCAGCGATAGTGATTGTCGCTTCCGATTTTTAGGTTGAACTCTGAGGATACAGCTCCCACACAATTGCACCTTTTGAGCACACTCCCAAGGCCAATCTGTTCGGGAGGGCATGAAACAAGAGCCGTCTTGGCACACCTTGGTCCAGACGCGCACGAGCGAGCACGTCACATTTCGAGTCATGCACGTCTGAAGCCCAAACACGAGCGGCAAAGGAGGGAAATGCCCCAAAAGGGAGCGAGAGGTGGCCCACCTGGTTGAGCCACTCGGAGCCCTCGACCATCTTGTAGAAGCTCAGCTCGGGGTTGGTGGGCGGAGTGCTGGGGCAGCAGGCACGCATCAGCTTCTTGAAGCTCGCCTTCACCTGCCGCACCTCGTAGTACTCCACCGGGATGAAGTCGCAGTTGGAGTACGACTCCGCCTTCATGCCCTGACAGAGAATGGCTCACGTGGCACTTCCAGCAAAGCATTGACTATGTTCCAAACCTCAATCTAGTAGATACACGCTGTCTCGTGTGTCACGTCATACGACGATGCGGGTAGAGTGGAACTGGACGCCAGCAGGGTTTTCAACACCCAAGTACAAAAGCTTTACTCTGCACTGAGATCGAGTCAATTTTGGAACACGGTTCGAATATTTGGGCGACGATAAGTTGGTCTGCCCTCAAGGTATGGTGACACTGGCTCCCACTGTACATGTTGCACAGTGACGAGCAGATACGGATGCAGTATCTGTTTGTCACTGACAGTGGCACCACCCAAAAGCTGCGGCAGAAGACACCCGTCTGCTTCTGTTCCCCGACAGGGTTCGCCTGTAGGCAAAATCAAATTCTCTTCCAGCTGTTTAGTTTGATCAACCGTAAGCTTTAAAACTTTGGCATCTCATACCAAACGCTCGGCACCGTGTTCCGATAGACTCGCAACAAAAAGTTTGGTCTTGCTCTCCAAAGAATGCGCTGCGCTTTTGTCGTTTGACACAGTTTAGAAAATGTAAATGCACAAGCGAGGACCTACCTTGATCTGGGACTTCTCCCCGAAGACATAGAGTGCCACCTTGTGGAGGGTGTGGACGCCGTCGTGGGGAGGTTCCATGGCCTCGCCGTACCGTGAGCCCCTCAGGGCAAACTCGGGGCCCAGACTTCCCGTGGAACCCTGCCTCCGATCCTTCAGGCTCCCCCAACGCATTTCTGACGCAAGTCATCGCAAAAACAACACGAGTCACAAGGCCGCCCGGTCAAGGCAGCGAAGGCACACAAAAGTTGCAAGCAGATTAAAACGACAGTTGCAAGTTGGTGCTATTCCCTTCTTTGTCTGTCTTATGTGCAGTTTATGGTTCCTAATGCTTATCCAACTAGCCCACCTTAATATTTGAGTAACACCACAATGGTGCCAAACCTCACTAATGGGCTGTAAAAATCTACAAACATTTGTGCATCCCCTGAACCTTGAAAACAAATTGTAGAAACACATCAAGTACAAATATTTATCCTCTTTGACTTATCGTTAAAAAAACTAAACAATTAACCCAACAAGCATTACCAAAGCGTACACTTCTGAACAGTACCCAGTTTAGCGAGGTACACTCGCAACGTTTTTTTTCCTAGCACCTAGATTTGCCATGTATTGTTGACACCCGCCATCCTTGTGGCCAGCCAAAATCCTGCCAAGTCAAATCACCCAAACAGTGGCCTTCAATGCAGTGGCGGACAGAGCTGTCGAAGTGGCTCGCGTCAAATCTTTCCGACCGCAACAAATGAAGAGCCACGGAAGCGTAGGGCCGGAGATCAACGGTGAAATCGCGCACCATTACGGCTCTCGTGAACGCAGTGAAAGGCACTGTTGGTGAACGCAGTCTGCCAAACTAGAGGGAGACGTGGGGGGTGCACACTCACTTTGGGATGGCAACAGGCCCCGATTTATGTTCATGAACATTTGGAAGGAATCGGTAATTTCTAGAACAAACAAAACAAAACGGAAAATTGGAGAACCAAAAAGGGTGCGGAGGGAGAGAGAGAGAGAGAAGGGTGAAGAAGAAAGAACAGCCGTGTCAGGGGGAAAACAATGGCAATGCAGTTACGAGTGCAAAACAAACTCGAGAAATTCCACATCATATCGCACTACTGAAAACTACGAAAGAATTTTGATTTTAAGGCCGATTTGAGAATAAAGATTAACTCATATTAGTAAGAAATTACGAAGTTTTACAAAAAGTGCATGAGTGTGTTGCAACGGCACATTTTCCAGCGTTTCACCTAGGGGCATTTATAAAAAACGAAGAGTGTTCCTTTACAGGAATAGCTCATAAGGACAATATAAATGAAGACAAGATAGGTATATCGAACCTGTCTTTGCAACATTCGCAGGTACAACCAAAAAAGTCCTGGCTTTCTGACACCACAACCTAAGGTCAAGCGAGATTGTGGTGTCGCGCTATTCCGACTCAGCGCATCTTAAAATATGTATTCTGCAGCTCTCGACTTCTCTCTATTTAAATTTGTGTCCTGTTTTGTTCAGTCTTGTTTTTCATGAGGATACTCGGTTCATTCTAGTGCAGCTTAAAGGTGCCCTAAAGCATTTTTTAAAGCTTTACAGACAATACTTTGCAGAGATTTTTAGCTCGTCAGCCATCGTCACCACTATAGAAAAGCTCTTCTCTCTCCTCTTGGCATGAGGAGAGGGAAATCGGGTCTTCCTGTCGGCCGCGCTGCGCGAAGAGAGGGAGCCTTGGCGTCTCGCCAGAAACGGCATAACGAAGAGAATCTTCCTGTCGTCTGCGTCAAACAGTCGTTTTTAAACATTACTCGCGCTATACGAAATCCCACTTTCGCCGTATGTAGTTGTTACACGTAATGTTGGATCGTTTTAGGAACCTTCACCGCGCTCAATTTCCTTATAACATCTCTACTTCCCGAACCCCAACTCGAAACTTAAAGCTGTTCTGCTAAAATCGTCACCTTACAGCCACCCTTCTCGCAAAGCTTCGCCTCGTTTCTCTGCTTGCGTTTCCCTCTCCACTCGTCTCTCAACTTCCACATTATCCCCTCTTTTTACCGCTCAATGTCACTGGGAAAACCTAAGCCTTACCCCACATCACCACAGCCGCGCATTCTTTGTAATGGCACTGGCAATTTGAGGCTTGCGTCCGTCAAGCAAGTGCTAATCCGTCCCAGTTCACGGCGGCGGCCGCCGTGAACTGGCGCACGTGCTGTGCCTCGCCTTACCCACTTAATTTACGGATCACAGAGCACTCGTTGCAGTCGTCAGTGGAATCCACAATGCTAACCACGACGGCAATGAGAATTAACATCGTCGCACTTCCACCTCAGGTACGTGATGGCACCATTTTGCCCACATTGCACGACCGTGCTACTTCTTCGCACATTGTGGGCGAAAAATACGACTGTTTTACTTTGTCTATTCACGATTCCAGAGTGGCTCTCCGGCTTCACAGGGTCTATTTGCATACAGGTCCTGCCTCCATTAAAAAGCACTTCAAGATCATGCTCTTTCTCTCAGATCACATGGCACGACGTGACATCGTGATGTTGCGTGACCTGGCGGCACGTCACGTGATGCAATCACGTGGTTGGCAACAGATGACATTGGGTTACGCAATCACTGTCACGTGACCCGGCGTCCATTAAATTAGATGGCTGCGTGGCGACGTTTCGTAGCATCATGTCGAGACTTCCCTCCAATATCCCAGCACGTAAATATGATCTGCGTTAAGAACCGAATAAACAGGATAAAACAGCGATGGTGCAGGCAGACTTACCATTTTCTTAAACCACCCGAGACTGGGTGGAGGAGAATTCAACGGGAAAGAGAAAGGACGACAGAGCCTCGAAGGATGTTGCCTTCTCTCATTCCGTTCCTTTTCTCTTCCACCTTGGATTCTCGGGTGGTTTGAGAAAAACAACAAAAGCGGTGGAAAGCGCAGAAAGGGGACTCACGCCTGCCGCCCTTGCCCCCCGAGGAGCGGAGGCTGTTGACGGCCTTCTGGAAGGGGTTGTGGGTGCGCCTCGACACCTCGGGGGTCAGGGTGGGGAAGTTGTCCTGGGCCCCCTCCAGCACCAGGGAGCTGATGCTCAGGGACGAGTCGTGCACCCCAATGCCTGCCCGGCCCAGCTGGGAGAGGGGCGTGGCCCGCACCAGGGCCGCCACCAGCTTCTCCTGCTCGATCGACGCAGACGTCTCGCTCGCCGTGCCTGCTCCCAGAGGCGAGGCCACTTTACCCTCCGTGTCGGCGGCGGCTCCAGCGATGGGCAGTGTTGCCCACTCCAAAGCCCGCTAAAGAAATCTCGAAAAACCGCTACACACCGCCACATTTAGGGCACGGGGCAAAACTTACTTTTACAGGGAAGCTGCTTATGGCTAGGGTTCCATAGATTTTTCGTCTGCAGTGAATAAAAACTACACTCGCACTGCCGCACGCGCGCGCCTTCCCCTTATAAAAGATTCCAAATAAATAACCAAAATAACGCTTCGAGGGACGCACGTGCAACATGTCATTTGTTTCAGGCTTTTGCTTTGGAACAGTCACTGCTGCAGACGCCGCCATGTGCGGCGTGTGGTACACCATTCCCTGCATTCTCCTTGATGATTGGGTAATTTAGCAATAGGTATATTCAGTAGATTAGTTATCAATAGGCACCACTTTCAAGATGGGTAAACTCTCATTTAGATAATAAAGGTTTCTCAAAGATTTGCCTCTGTGCAGCCCACGTCGGCCATGTCTGCACTTGCACCGCCCTCTCTTTGTCCTCGTTCCAAGCGCTTGCGTGCCTAATTTCCTTTCCTTCTGCTCTCCCAGGGTGGCAGTCCAGTTGTGCGTGTCTACTTTCCGCCGGGTGGCAGTCCAACCATGCGTGTCTAGTTTCCTCCAGCTCCTCGAGGCGGGTCTGTATCCTGTGCTAAACAGCTTCACTGGTCCTCCCTCCTTCAAAGGGTGAAATGGCCCATAATTCTGCTTCTTTAATTGGGTTCCGATTTATTTTTTTTTGCATGCAAACACAAATTGTTATGGACCAACATTTTTTTCTTTTTTCTGAGCAGAATTGGAACGGTACTTTTTTCTATCAAACGAAACTGAAACGATATAAAAAGAAAACATTTTGTTCCAACACCCTGCTTAGAACTTCCAGTAGTCATAGTCTCAAACTTTGAAAATCTATAGCCCTTTTTTCTCTGAACTGTTGCACATAGTACGCTGGGCCCATGTTATCTGGCAGACTTGGAAAACAAGTTCATACACTGATGCATAGATGAGCTCAAAGCATGTTTCAAGGTTTGCTACCACAAGATCTCAATGGCGTTGCAAGCATTATCCTCATTGAAAGCAATTTTGCTGAGAGTAAACAATAACTTGAAGCTGGTCATCCATCTCAACGTGAATCTCGAGTATGATTCCTACAGGACGACGTTAAGGATGACCTCAAGGACAACTTCAAGAATGACGCCTAAAGGACGACGTCTAGGACAATGTCAAGGACGACTTCTAGGACGACTCCGAGGACGACGCCTAGAGGACGACCTCAAAGACGACCTCGAGGACGATGCCTAGAACGACCTCAAGGACGACCTTGAGGACGTCCTCGAAGACAACACCTAGGGCGACCTTGAGGACGTCCTCGAAGACAACACCTAGGACCACCTCTCGGACAACTTCTAGGACGACTTCGAGAATGAGGCCCAGAGGACGACTTCTAGGACGACCTCAAGGACGACTTCTAGGATGACGCCTTGAGGAAGACACCTAAGAAGACCTCTCAGACGATGCCTAGAGATGATAAAGGATCAGGGCCTCACTATCTGATAATGCCAAGGAAGGCTGACTCACACTGGTTGTCCACTCTTTTAGAGTTCAGCTCTTAGGCGCCTGTTTCCGGCTTAAGTGGCATCGCCGTCCGCCTAATTGCACGTTGCATGATGGGCCGTTTCTCATAATGACGTCATTATGGTGCAGACCACAAAAATTAAGCTATTTACGATTGATTAATGTGAAAACTTTTCTAGACCGCCAGACAAAATGCTAACATGATTTTGGGCTCTAAGTTGGACACTTGACGAAAAAGTCGGCGAGATTCCTTACAGCCGCGATTGGCCAGTGCCAAAGTCAAGCGCGGCGCTGGCCAATTGCGGCGCTCAAAAATGTCGCCGACATTCTCAGCAAATGTCCAGCTCTTCCCCTTGAAAACCACTAAAAATCCCGCGAACCACAAAACGGCGATTTCTCCCGCTAGACAACTTGGAGAACTGCTAAATTTAGTGGGAAAACCATTAAATTGGCATCAGAGGTGGTAGGGTACTAAGCAAGCCAATGTGGTTTTATGATTCAGACCCGAGTGTGTGTTATACCTAAAGGGGCACTGAACTACTTTCTGTGATAGTCTATTTATGGTCATAAATCAATATATACCATAAAATACCGGGCAAATGCCCACTCAAACTTTGGAGATAATCACAAAACAAATAAGGGATGGGCGCTTGTCCAGTCATGAATTTTACACATAAACATACTGTGCGTATCTTCTCAGATCTTACAAACTTGGGAATGGGCGCTTAATGTGGAATGGGCGGATGCGCCGACGCCAGATGACGCCATTGCACAAGGTAGTGTAAGGCTCTGCGCCTCAACCGACGGAGCCGTCTGGTGTCGATCTTTTGACACCGATTTTTGATGAAGAAATCGGCCACGCATGAATGCAATGTTTGGTTTTTTATCATGCTCAGACTGCGCAGGTTGAGTCATGATCATAAATAGACTATCGCAGAAATTAGTTTAGTGCCCCTTTAAGCTGAACCAAGGGCCATCTGATTCTGGACCGAGTTCTTTGAAGTTTACGTCGGTGGAGTTCATAGGACCTTCTAGGTCTCGCACCTTATTGCTTACACATAGTATGTTGTCCTGCAAGCAATTCTTTAATAGCTTCGTGCAAAAAAAAAAAAGCAATTGTATATTTTTGGACGAACAGGACAGAAAGCACGAAACAAAAGCCCCATGCCAGCAAACGTTGAGATCCCACAAGCAAGCCATGATGCCACATTTCCCAGACAGGTGATACCAACAGGTGTGGCAAACAAACAGGCCCGTTCTAGTTTACTCACGACTATATCTGTCAAGAATCCAAGGTCACCTATAGTGCCGAGAGATTTGAGATGCACCGAAGCACACACAGTCTAGGCCCTAGGGGACTGCTTCGTCTACTCTTCATCCCCGTCATGGAGAGAGCGCAACACTGTTAGCGACAACTACGCTGCCTGCAACGCCTCTCGCACTCGTGTCTTTATTGAGTCCAAAAATGTTGGCAACGTTGCGCGACACTGTTGTCAACATTGTCACGCAACGTACAATGTTTATTAACTTGCCCAATGTGCTATCACGAAGGAGGACGCCGAGAGGACAGAGTAGCCGGCGAAGAGAGGGAAAGGATACAAAAACGGGACTCACTAGACGTGGTGGGGTGCCCCTTCAGCATGCCCATGACTCCCTTTCCGTGAAAGCCACTCGCTCGGACTAGAAGGGCCTTGGTTCCGGGATGACGCCAGCAGACCGACGGAAACCTGTCCAAACGAGGAGACGAGATTTCCCGACGGTTCGCGAGATCATCGGGAAAGAGACGCGGCCCGTGGCGCAGAACTGCGACGTCACCTTGAATGCCGGTAACAGCGGGAGAGCTTGCGAATGCTGTCGTCGGGGACGCTCTGCGGAACTACCACCAGGGCCGGATAGCTGCGGGAAAAGAAGACGCGGTGTCTCCCAGGCCACTCTCAATCTTTGCGCAATTAAAAAAAAGCGCCACATTAGCATCTGTTCAGATTCGCAGAAACGAGAGGCAACAGTGGCCACGCCGACACAGCACGCATGCAGCATTCTTTCGTTACGGGAGCGCATTAGCGGAAACTACTAAAAGCCAGCCATCTCGCGCAATACGCATTAAAAGAAAAATGTTTGTTTTTTCAAGTTGCTGACGCCAGACAGAGAGAGCCACCTGGGACAGACGGTGTAGCAGCGGTTGGCGGAGCTGATGCGGAAGCCCTCGGGGCGCCCCCTGGCGGCCGCCGTGTTGGCGCCCAGGGTGCCCAGGTGCAGCCGCTGGTAGTCCCGGCTGTACACCGTGTCCCCCATCTTCTCCAGGGACCGGTGGGCCACAGAGGGCAGCACCGACGGGGGCGCCACGCTCTCCCCGTCGTCTGCCAGAGAGCAGGAACCAAATCAGACCCACTGAAGAACCATGGCGCCCGGAATATTTGATTAAATATTTACCTCAACGACTTCAACCGGGAACTGGTACAGAAAAATGGTGGTAGTCAAAATATCCACATTTTTTACTCCTCTGCGCCGGTCTCGAATTGAAGTCATCACAGTAAACTTGCACTAGGTTACCTGTGCACCGACTGTACTGTAATCGAATATTGTTTATTCCAGGCATCATAAAATGAGTTTAAAGAAAAACAGGTGAAGAGGGAAAGAATATGATTTCTAAGAGACGTGCCAGGGTAAAATCTCGAAATCTGCTCTAGGGGAGAAGGACGGGGGAGAACGCACCTGAGGCGTCGTCGTCGAAGAAGGTGAGGGGCCGGTCGGGGCCCTCGTGGTCGAAGGGGCGTCCGGCGGCGCCCCCCGCGGGGAGGGTCCTGGCAGACATGGGCGGCCCCTGCACCACATACTTCTGCTTGCGGGAGGACGGGCGCGGCTTGAAGCCCGCTCGCATCGCCGTCTTCAGGATGTGCCGCTTGGCCTTGCCCCTGCGTCGTCACCGAGAGACGGGCTACGTACGCGTGTCAAGACGCGACTCGTGCCAATGCCGTAGGTTTCGATTTGGCGGGCTCACGTGAGGGTGGCGTTCTTCTCCTTCTTGTGCAGCGGGGTGGGGGGGGCCGCCATGTGGCCGCTGAATGCAAACAGCTGGAACATGTTGGGCGGGCAGTGGGCCCGATTCAGCCCCTTCCGGAACACCTCGATGCTCTCCGAGGTCACCTCGTCCTCGAAAGCCACCCTCATCAGCTGCGAGGGCAAAGCGGGACGTCAGAAACGTACCGTGATCGGTTCGTCCAATAGTGCCTAAGAGACAAGGCCCGCGCATCGCGCCTTCTTGGTGTCGCCGCCTGCTAGCGCCACGCTCATTGGGAGATGCGACGCGACCTAGGCGGCACTGTGTAGAAGTAACGATGTAGAGAGGAAAGGTGCTGGCCTTGCCTTCTGGACGGCTGTTTACGCACCTGGAAGGTGTTGGACCTCAGCTGCAGGCCCTCAGGCAGCACCTGCTCCAGCTGCTGAAGGTACTGCACCGCAATCTTCTTCTCCTTGGTCAGCGTCGCAACCGGGAAACTACGCACCACCGTCTGCTCGCAGGCTGGATGGACAAAAGGGCAACAACAAACTCTCGATAAGAGCTCTCACCCGCGACTAACCTGCAAAAAAATGAAGCGAACTAAATACAACGACGGCACAACTGTGTTTTCAGACATGCGCTAGAAGCTATTTAGAATCGCGACAGTTTAAATCACAATCTCGTTACGCTTCCGAGTCGTCGAGCCACCTTCCAATTATGAGAGTACACTGAACACAAGGAAGATAAAAGTGCTTAGGTGACAGAGAATCTATTTCTATTAAGTTTTGGGTAGTTTTGAACAAATATTAAAAATTTAGAATAGTAGTTTCGAATCATACACTATTCGATATTCACTTCGAGCTTATCAGCGATATTCTCTTCGAGCTTATCCACAATATTCATATTTTTCCACGTGTAGACTGCGGCAGTCTACACGTAGCGCACTTCTTTTTGAGCGCGGGTGCAGTGCGGTGAAGCACCACCTGCGGAAAAAGTGAGCTCTGCAAGTGTTGCTTCCCTACATTAGCGGCGGAGACTAGCGCCACCTGGCAACAGAATATCCGAGGTTGTCCAACTGAGCTTTCACTTTCCGCTAAATCGTTGTCGACCGAGCTTTTACTTTACGTGATCTTTGGCACAGCGTGGTGCAATTTCGGTCTATTTTATGCTTTTGGCTTTGCTAGACGCAGAAAATTGTGAACGTATCACAGAGTGGTGCAACTGTCACAGCTGTCCCCCCCCCCCCCCCCCCCCCCCAATTTTTTTTAATCTTTTCACTCTTTTTTTTTTTTACATCATCATTTTTTCTTTTAATTACCCTTTTTATTTCTTACCTCATTTTATTTTCTATTATTTTTTGTATACGCATTCTTTTTTTTTTTTTCCCCCTTTATGTAGATCCTGCTGCTCTCGAGGGGTACTTTTGCATTCAATCAAAAACATTGGCCCATCTGTACCCGCTGCACAAGTAGCTCAATGGCTCTAGCATCCGACTGCCACCGCACTGACCTGGGTTCAAGCCATGCCACCAACTTTACACATAATCGTCCGTAATGCTCCCCAGCGGGTAGTCCGCGACAATTTTTTTTCATAGAAAGCATAGAACACGTTCTACACAAATAAATCAACCGAATGAATTGAGTGGGAAAAGAATATATTGTGAAGTTCCGAGAGAACACCTGCCCCCGAGAGACCGCCCATCCTGTTTTTCTGACTAATTATCTGTAACCTAAAAATTCCGAAACAACGCCCACACCCCCATTCCCGTCGGATGTCACACAATGTGCAACGGGAATCGCATCAACCGCACCATTTGCTGTACCAGCACGTCTGACGAGCGAGAGCGAGCTCACGGCAGGTTCCTGCCTTTTTGTCCACGATCTGCATGCGCGATATTGACTCCCGCGATACACGTGTTGTTCCCGCGTGTATGTTGCACCGTAAAATGTGAATCTGCTGTGTCCGCCATTTGTGGTATCTGTTCAATTTTGTAGGAAATTCGCGCGTTTTTGTCTGTGATCTCGATTCCACGCGAGTTGGTCCCGCATGTATATTGCGTCGTGAAGTACAATTCTGCTGTGTCCACGATCGGCGGTAATTTTCCCCTTAACATAAGAGTTTGTAGTGGATTCATGCGTTTCCGCCCGTGATTTGCGGGCGCGACATCGATTCCCGGGACAGGAAAGTTTGTAACGGGTTCCTGCGTGTTTATTGCACCAGAAAACTCGAATCTGCTGCATCGGCAGAAGCAGATGCAGCAGATTCCCGCAACACAGGAGTTTGTGGCAAATTCCCGCCTGTTTATCGCATCGTGAAACGCGAATTTGCAGTGTGCACGATCTGCGGGGCCAGTTCCTGCGTCACGTGGCTTGTAGTCGGTGCCAGGGTGTTTATCGTTCATTTTTGATAAAGTTTTGTCGTGCCATCCCCGAAGATAGCCCACCCCATGTTTTTCACCATTCATCCCTCCCTTTGGGGTTTTCGTAACTTTACGGTATGCTTGGTTGGTGATGTTTCCAAGGGGGGCTCTCACCGTAGGGGTCCAGGGGGGTGCCCTTGAAGAGGACCCGGTAGTTGGTGAGGAAGACGGCCCCCTCGGCGGGCAGCAGGCAGGGGCCCCCCAGGGCGCTGGACCCCGTGCCCTCCTCCCGCCCGTCCGGGATCAGGTACGCCCTCAGCCCCTCCATCGCAAGCTCCTCCCCCTGCAGCAGGCTGGGCACCAGGATCTTCGGCTGCAGGAACGGGACAGGTCGGGAGACTCGGTCTCACTTCAGATGCAATCGTAGCGCTTGTGCAGTGCCAGCCTCGTTTTAAGCAGGTCTTCTCATTTTATCGATAGCCAAGGAACCGCTCTCAACCTCTGCATTGATGCGGTAAAAGAGGCAAGAAGAACACGCGCTCGAGATGGTGCTGCCCCCATCAAAGGAGTGGCCAACATCTTGGGGTTACCTACTTTTACTACCAAACTGGGAGGACATTCAGCAGCGATGGAAGTGGTATTCGATGTTTTGGAGCAATTTGGTTTGGACCAGCCACTGATGCTTTTCGAGCAGACATCTGTTACCATATCCCTCGAAAAAAAGAAAAAGCATCGTTAAACGAGTTTACTTTTGATAATGATCCCTGATAACGGATCATATTACTTATTGCCTTTTGGAATAAGGGTAGAAAGGGCATAAAGGAACACACAGCTTGGCAAAGACCCCGAGAATGCAGGCAAAAACGACACATACACTAACAAATCCCATTAGCGTATGTGTCCTTTTTGTTTTAGAGCGCAGCTCTTAGGGGCCCGTTTCCGGCTTAAGCGGCGTCGGCGTAACCGCGAGGTCACGTGACCCCCCCGAGGTCACGTGACCCACCCAGGTCACGTGACACCCCTAGGTCACGTGGCCCCCTTAGGTCACGTGACCCCCAGAAGTCACGTGACCCCCTGAAGTCACGTGACCCCCTGAAGTCACGTGACCCCCTTGAGGTCACGTGACCCCTTAGGTCATGTGACCCCCTTAGATCACGTGACCCCCTTAGATCACGTGACCCCCAGAAGTCACGTGACTGCCTTGAGGTCACGTGACCCCCTGAAGTCACGTGACTTCTGGGGATCACGTGACCCCCAAGGTCACGTGACCCCCAAAGGTCACGTGACCCCCAAAGGTCACGTGACCCCCAAAGGTCACGTGAGCCCCTGAGGTCACGTGACCCCCTTAGGTCACGTGACCCCCTTAGGTCACGTGACCCCCTTAGGTCACGTGACCCCCTTGAGGTCACGTGACCCCCTTGAGGTCACGTGACCCCCTTAGGTCACGTGACCCCCTTAGGTCACGTGACCCCCAGAAGTCACGTGACCGCCTTGAGGTCACGTGACCCCCTAAGGTCACGTGACCCCCTGAAGTCACGTGACTTCTGGGGATCACGTGCCCCCTAAGGTCATGTGACCCCCGAGGTCACGTGACCCCCAAAGGTCATGTGAACCCCTGAGGTCACGTGACCCCATGAGGTCACGTGACCCCCTGAAGTCACGTGACCCCCTTGAGGTGACGTGACCTCAAGGAGTCACCTAGCCCTCAGTACGCTTCCATCTTCCTCCTCAAGAGCTGCGCTCTAACCGGCGTTACAGAGAATTGTAAACGGCTTTCATTTTTTTTCTTTTAGTGTATATGTTGTTTCTACATCCAGTCTCAGGATTTTTGTCACGCTTAATATTCGCAGCTCGTTTCCGCCCCTACGTTCAGTTCATTAACACTGAGCTTTCTTTTTTAGAAATAGGGCTGTGGCCAAAGTATCTGCCATTTACTATATATTTAAAAAAAGAAATGTTGAAAATTTAATTAGAGAGCAACACTTCAGTTGGGGTAAAGCCACACTCCCCTCCTCCTTTTACACTCCGTAGTTACTTCAGCCCATTAATATAATATCCGTAAAATGCCTTAAAAACAAGCATATCCACTATTTCTGGGCACATCTTTTTCACAATGAGAGGTCAATTAACCCACAATCAAGATCAAGGAGGGTAGACCAGTAACACAATTGATCCTAATTTCCGAGCCCATGTCAGCCACTGCTCAAAGCACTCTGGTGCAAAGCGGTGAAGCTCCACGTATGTGCACTGGTGAGAGGCTGTAAAGGCTCGTGAGCGGCACAAGCGCCACGGTACTTGGTAGCCATGGCACAGAGCCGTGTGGCAGACATAATAATCGAGTGATCTCCCCAGGGGGGACCAATCAAAAGGCAGCAAACCGTGGCATTCGTCATTTTCCTATATACGTGTTCTTTCATCAGCTAGACCAATCAAGTGCAGCCAATGCCCCATGACTTAACTTTTAGCATGCGTGTTCGTGGTTGTAGGCGTTCAAACTTTGGACTGGGCTCCTACCAAAGATGAGACAAGCTATGCGAAATATGTACATATCTGTACCCTTCTCCTTTGCGCCTACTTCTCCGGATATTAGGGCCGACCAATAATTAAATTCCTATCTTCTTTTCTTCGTTCGAGCCTACTTGGCGCAGGTAGAGCACAATACTTAGTAAAAACAGCCCTTTGGCGCAAGATGTAGCAGACTTTCGTTTGTGGCGCAATTTGGAGCAAACGGCGCAGCACTTTTGCCACTGCGTTCGGGGACGATCTAGGACACCCCGGCCCGAGACGCCGTGCTTGGGACCGACCTTGGGGATGGGCGGCAGGCGCTTGCTCTCCCGGTGGACCGCCTCGAGCATCTCCTGCTGGATGGCCACCACCCCCGGCACCATCTGGTGCAGCGCCCGCACGTGCTCCTCCGTCACCCCGCTCTCGTGGCACACCTTGTCCACAAAGCGGCCCACAAACTTCACCACCCCGGCACCCACCGCCTCCCAGGCGTCCTCCTCCCCAAAGCCGCTCTCCCCGTCCGCACTGTCCGTCTCCGCCATGCTGCAACAGAAGACGCCACACTTCGGTCCCTCGTCGACACACATTGCTCCGGCTGTAGTTACCCGACCGAAGCACAATTTAAAGCCTAAACAGGCCCCCGCGTCGCAGAAATAGCCACTAAGAAGTGCCTTCCCAAGATGGCAACCTTGGGACTGCAACCCCGATAGTGCAACGCGGGGTCTGCAAACCCGGAGGTTGCAACCCGGAGAATGCAACACGGAGTCTGCAAACCTGAAGATTACGACCCAGACACCGCAACCTCCAGACTGGAACCCCGAGACTCGACTCCCATAAAGGTCCTCGACAACGAAATCGGTCCGGCTCAAGAAGGAGGGTTCGGTGGCCGGCAGAAGCCCCCTGCCCCACCTGTTGGTGACGATGCTGTTGGAGTTTGAGCGGCCCTCCACGTTGATGTCGGGGGAAGCCCTCCGACTGGCGTCCAGGGGCACCCTGAGGGCGGCCATCCGGTTGGCAAAGTGGATCGCCTGGCTGTACACCGTCGACTCCTCTCGGCTGGCCAGCTCCTCCAGCTCCTCCTTGGACAGCGAGCCATTCTGCTGGATGCGCATCTGCGGGCCGTCCCCAAGATGTTGTCTCCACTCGACCATGCCCGAGGCAGTTCGGGTCTGGCTCGGACGCCATCTTCTTCATTAAAGAAAATTATGCCGCCTTTGAATAAGATCTAGCACCAAGTAGACCAGTCTACAACTTTCTTACCACGCTATTATGTCTACATCGCTACTCCCCTTGTTTCTTTTGGCCGACTTACGATTGCAAACTTTAGCTCATTAGTGCAATGACTTAGCAACTATGCTTTGTTCGTGCTTCTAAACTCCACAGTTTGCAAGCACACCTATACAGCATTGAAAGAAGAACAAGTAGGTGCAGCACAAAAGACTGCGAATTATTTATCAATTTTCTGCTGGAATTTTTTGGGGTCGGAAAAGACGACGGGACTGGCAGTCGTTGTCCTCTCGCTCGGAGACGAGGCCCGACAAAAAAAGCGCCACAGCTCACCTGCTCCGCAGCTATCTCCAGGGCACTGGGCTCGGGGGCTTTGGAAAGGATCGCTGGCCGCCGATTGCACAGATCAAAGTTGGACTTGGGAGCGTCTATTCTTGACCAGCTGCTTGTGGAATCTTTGCTCTGCAAGGCAAGTTTTCATCGGGCTTCCTACGATACACCAGTCGACCGACAACTACGCACAAACTGCCAACGCCCACATAGCGCTGTCCCTCGTAATGCAAAGTACCGTACAAGAAACGCAGAAGATAAAATTCAATGCGACGTTCGATAGCCAGGCCTGGCATAAAAAGAAGTTAAGGGCACATTTACACTCGCGACTGGCAGCGATCGTGCGACCGTTTCCCGGTGCCAAAAAAAAAAGTTGTGAACCAAAAGTGCCCCTTAATTAGGGAGTTTTAGCAGATTGTTTTCGAAGGCCCACTACTATTACGAGCGTGCACTTCATAGCATGCATCCAAGTGGCAGCGCGAGCTCCCGCTACAAATAGCGTGGCCTGAAAACACAATCTACTAAAACTCTCCATTGACTAGTTGATCACTGAACAATTTTTTAGCCTGGCAATGCCCGTCACTGCGTCACTCGCCGACACTTCATAAGTAACCCACCGCATTTGTTTACACGCAAAGATTTTGGCTCGTGGGAAATGATACGACTAACGTGTCTACGGTAGCTGCCACAAAGTTCTCCGAGGGTCGCTCAATGGTACACAAGAGCACCTAATTCCTTATAAACTCATCATTTTTTGTTTCATAAAATGATGACTTAGAAAACCGCTCTTGCACAAATAACCTTATCTTGCATAGTCTTGATAGTGAGGCGTTATAATCCAATGTATCACAGTTTTTCTCGGAGAAACTAGAAATAAATTGCCCGCAGATTGAAAGATGTCACAGACTTGGTAGACATGACGATCGTTCTTGTCCCGCAATTATGAAATTACTGGATTTCCACGCTGAAATTCAGGTCCTGAAAAATGGCTGAAAGCAGACTCGGATATGCGTACATCTGCAGATTTCTCCCTTCACGTACGTTCAGTTCCTAGAAAATGTGGGACGTCTCCGCTTGATCACGGAACAATGGCTCTAGCATCCGCTTCCGTTATGACCACATACTCATTGATAACATACAATATGGTTGGGACGATGCAACTAACGCCATTGTTAAACACACCGTCCATACTACACCTAAGGCCTCTTCCACTAACACTCGCCGACTCCAACATAGTTCACAAAGCATTTGTGTTTTAAACATTAATGCGAGAAGCTTAATAAACAAATTTCCAAACTTTCCCTCATTTCGTCCCACTCGGCTCATGTTGCAGGGGTAACAAAAACATGGCTGCATGACTGTGCATACAATACCGAAATAACACCCTACGGTTTTTGCGTAGTGAGAGCCGATAGAAAGCACGGTAGAGGCGGTGGCATTGCCCTGTTTTTGCATCCTAATATCGAATTGTCTGCGATTCAAGGTCCCTCCGAGATTGGATCAGTATGGTGTGAGCTTTACCTGGAAAAAAGGTCAATAGTAATTGGCGTTGTTTACCGCCCCCCTGGCTCGCCTATTGATTAAAGGCACACCCTACGTAACTTCATGCACTCTCACAATCTATGTTCCTTTAACCTAATTTACATAGGAGGTTTCAATATACAAGCATCCAGTGGTCTTCATTATCGCAATCTGGTCACGATGCTTTAGTAAGTAGAGAATCGTTGGATTTCTCTTTGTCATACGGTCTAAAGCAATTAGTAGAGGAGGGCACCAGAGAGACGGCAGTTTTAGATTTAGATTTTCTTAGCTCACCCCTTCTACAAAGTGGTTTTGAATGCGAGATCACTGATGGTATTTCAGACCATAAGGCTGTTCTTGTTTCAATCATTTATTTTGCACCGCATAAATGTGTTCTTTATTCTGCTTTCCCCAATTTTTAATGTGCGAACAATGTTTCTATTATTGATATATCAAGAGATTCTTTCGAAAGCTTCGAACAACTCTGTGCGACTAGCGACGCAAGTTGCTCGGTTACATATTTTTAAAAATTGGTTAAAACATGTGTCCAGTGATTTTTGCCACTTGGAGCAAAGAAAAAGAATTTATCGATGCCACGGTTAAAGCGAGAAATATTGCATATCTCCCGTCGCTTAGGTAGACATAGGCTTGCCAGATGGCAATTTTTGAGGCTTCCTGGGGTTCCGTGGGACCAAAATGTTTTAGAACCCCTGCCTTAAGGTAAGCTGGCACACCCAGCCCCCATCTCTCAGGGCATGCCAGAGCTTGTCATTCAGGAACCCAATACACAACAAAGCAAAAGTTTGGCAAAAGTTTGGCAAAACTTGGGTCATTTGCCCGAGAAACGAGACACCTGTGCCCCGTTTCACCTTAGGACGAACCGCCGCCAACTCTACGAGCCATTCAATGCTGTGCGAGCGTCAGGTGATGTTCAAAACTGGCTGGGATGGCTCGTAGCATCCACTGCGGTCCGTCGTAAGGTCAAACGAAGACGCAAACTAGCAAACAAAAGAGCAGAAAGAAACCAATCAAAAGCATGCAGGCTGGAAGGGAATCGAGCAAGTGGGGCAGCAAACGGAAGGTTCAAAGAAAGACGAGGAGAAATGGAAAGCAGGCAGGAGGGGAAGAAACCAAAAGATAATCCCAACGCACGGCAGCGGCAGCAGCAGCGGCAGCAAAAGGGTAGAAACGGAAAAGCCGCGGCGGAGCTGCCTCTCTGCACTTCTGCAGGTGCCTCAGGTACCTCTGTGTCCCCGGGAAGAACGAGAGAAGAAGAAATGCACCCAACCGAGGAGAAAGGCAGAGCAATACACAACCCGAGAGAAGCCTCCAGAAAGAAAGCTCAGAAACCCAGGGAGGAGGGTAGCGGGACACAAAGTGAAGACAGCACACACAAAACTGTTACCTCGCACGATTAGGTTTGTCCCGAAATTTTGCTTATAAAAATGTTCCTCGCAATCAAGACTCGTTCCCAAGTTAGGTGGGACGAGAAAAAATATAAAAGAAGATGCAGATATTCCATTTTTGTGGGAAAATATTGTGGCACTGGATGACAGCGTTTTATTCCAAGTATAGGTTTATTTGAGTAAAGCTGTAGAACGATCTCACTAAAAGTGGTTCAGAATGAAATGTGTGTTGTTCGATCGCTTACAAACCAAAACATTTTTACCCGAAAACAAACGGGGTCTCCATAATATACAAAGTGCAATGCTGAGAACATAAGCGTGCAATCTCCGGGTTTACCTTGCTTTTAAATATGGAAAGGTCCTATTGAAAGAGTGAGAAAAAATGCAAACGTTGCATTTCAGATCAATGTGCTGCACTAGCAGCATAGCATACACAATGAAGTTGGGTTCCTCATTCTAGAAACTATTCAAGAGTAACGGCGATACCCTAGCGAGAATTTATTGTGCGCCCAGAAAAACAAGAAAGAAGAGAATTCCAAAATCCTCCCCCAAACGAATTTAGATTTGCGCAGACGAGCGCACATTCATTCGCAGCACAATTGTACGAGACCGCCACAAAGGGCGTGGGCTGATGGATAGTAATGACTAAGGTCCTTAAGTATTAACTCATAGCTCGCGACACCTAGCGCAGAAAGCGAGGCGGAAACCCGCCCACCTCGCGGGGGCTGAGCGGCGGCGTCTTCTGCTTCCCCGGCGCGTTGTTCGGCTGCTGATGGTTCGGCTGGTGACCGCCGTGCTGCGGGGAGGCCGTGTGGGGCAAGTATAGGGAACGGATGTCGCGCTGCACGTCCTGGTAGAAGGCGGCCTCCCAGAACTGCAGCTGGCCCCAGACCACGTGATCTTGGATGCAGGTGTATGCAAACTGCATCACTCCCGTGCACAGTTTCTGCGGGGGCACGCCAGAGACGAGTCGGACCACGGCTCTGCAAAGAGCGGCGAGAACCGCGCCACGGTGCCAAACTCTTACCCTGCAGAAGGCGTGCGAAAGGGGCAGGATTCCCGCAGCAACGCCGTGCTCGTCCAGAGCCGAGTCGTCCTAGCACCAAGAACGAAAGAGACATTGATCGTTGCCGGGCACATTTCTCGAATTCATTTTAAAATGGCCCACCCCTCGAGTCTAGCGCATACTTCTAGAAGCGGCTTTCCTAGTTAAAATAAAAATATCATATCACAAGTTCGAGCGGAGCACTTGGGAAAGGCGAAGGAATTCACCTGGAGGGCGCAGTTCATGAGGCGCACCACCAGGTCGAACTGCTGGTGCTCCAGGACCGCCTTGTTGCCGGTCACGTGGTGCTGGAGCTCGTGCGTCAGTGCCAGGCGCGCGGCCTTGCTCTTGAGGGCACGCAACACGGCCGGCATCGCCTGGTGGGACAATCCACCCAGTTATGGGAGGAAACCACCCCATCTCTGCAAGCGCCTAGCACAGCTGTCCGAAGGTCAGCGACGCTTATGGACCACTCCTCATCACACTTTGCGACCGGAGAACGGGAAATGCAAAATTTTTCGCCGAATTCTAAAGTATTTGTGCGACATGATAGTAGAACCAGTTTTTATTTTCCGGAAACAAATTCACTCGAAACGCTGGTTCACACACTTGCAACGGCTTGCGACCATGTGCTCAAAGTGATATGCGCACATGCACAACACACACTCCGCGCTCGTGTACAACACTTACACCACAGCCACAAGAAAGGTCTTGCTCGGTGAACGACTGATTGGACGTGCAAGAATTATTGCGGCATGCTGGACGAGTTTTGAGAGAAGTTTCTTGACAGGGACCCTAAGGAGTACCGGAACTTGCATTGTGTCAGCCGGACAAAGTTTCTACAGTTTCTCTCATGCATGAAACCAAGAATCGTGCGACAAAATGAACTAGCAAATGCACAAAACACAACAGCGTGCCATTTTTATTTTAATCATCCGAAATAAAAAAAAAAAAGAAACGACAAGAAAACATTGTACTGTTACCAGACTAAACGCTTTTCAAGTCAATCTCCTGCTTAAAATTCGCGAGTGAAAAGGCGCTTCACTTTTTCAGTCCAAGCGTCCGCGGACGAGGCGCAGATCGCCGGAATCGGTGACGCGACGGTCACGTGGTATACGGTTCGTGGACGAAAATCGCGATTCAGTTCCTAGTGTGGATCGGATATAAGAAGCACACTCAACAGGGAAGCGAGAACAAGAAGTATAAATTACACTAAAACGACGTTTGAATTCAGAGGCTTATAAATACATAAACATGATAGGACAACCAAAATTTTGGAATTTCTTTGAATTAACTGTAAGTATAAAATATCCAAGTTTGGATTATCCCGAGTCTACTATATATCAAAACATCAGATTTATAAAAAGGAGATAAAGCATTATAAGTGTGAAAATTTCATTCGAATATTGTAAATAATAATTAAAAAAAACATGTTTTCCCCTGGAGCCTTTCTTTTAAACTCTTTTGCAACAACACACTGATGCCATCTACCGGGTGAAACACTCAGTTTCTGCATACTTCCTTTTTTTTTTTTTTTATTAGGAAATTTTTTGACAGTGTTATTTCTCGTAAATAGTATGTATATTTGATCTCGCAAATAGCACAAAAGCTTGGCTTTAGTGAAATCCAGTCCCAGGGCCACCTCATAGATGGCGCCAGCGGTCCTAAGCAAAGGCCAGTGTGCAAACGGGCCTTAAGGCTGCGGTCCCACGGCAGCCATCTTGAACAAGGCGTTAGTTCAACCAATAGATGGCGACACGCACCCGTGGGGTGGCCGAAACATTGGTTCACAGTGGGATGGCTCGAGCACCATCACGTTCCCCTCGTGGCCTTGCTCGCGCCGCTGCCAGCTGTGCTCAGCTAGCTCAAGTAGCGTGGCCTACGTGGCCCAGCAAACGGATGTATGCGAGAATGTCAGGCTGGGTATAAATTGTTGTCTGATATAGGGAGATGCGGTCGGCGGTTGTAACGTGCTTTCGCAATAAATCTTACCAAGAAGGAATCAAATGTTGATTGACGTGTCAATATTCTATCAATGAAAATTTCCTCTGCAGGAATGCACGCTCAGTAGACTCAACCAGTGGAAGCGGACGTCGAGTAAACTGCTTCGCGATTTACGGTACTTACCTCACCATTTTAATGACGACTAAAATAACGTCACGAAATATTGTGTTTCACGGGGTCCGGAAGATGTTGTAAAGGTTATTACATTATAGTTCCCGGAAAACAAACGCCGTTGCAATATTTTCGGAAGTACCGACACACATTATGTTGTAAGTACAGCTTAGGGAAACCATCAGAAGAAATAGGAAGACGTTTATTTGCAATGAAGACGCTATGAATGAACGGCGTTTAGCGACGGCAAGTTATGAGCGTTCGGGAATTTATAAGTTGACGTGATTGCTAACCATGGACATGCGGACAATGAAGACCAGTTTTGTCGGGAGATGGTGTTGTGGTGATGACCGGATATCGGACGACTCATGGCAGACGAACAAGCAAGTTTCTTCTCAGCGATTGGTAAGTGTCCAGTTTCAAGCACAACACGTGGCTACCGACGTTGTCGACGTTTCGAACACTTACCGCTTTCGACAAAGGTCCTGGCACCTGGGCTAACTTTGTGGAAAGACTCGAACAGTAACTGAAAACGATCCACTATTCAGTCGGTGGGTGGCGAAACGTATCCACATCTGCGGAGTCATGTACGATGCGTACTCTAAGTGGCTGGAAGTTTACACGATGTCTGCCACGACGTCCAAACACGTCATTGACGTTCTACGGTCTCTTTTACCTACTTTTGCCCTACCGAAAATACTTTTCTCTGATAACGTGCCAAATCTTGCTTCAAATAAAATAAACAAGTTTTTGAAGAAAAAAAAAAAAACGGCATCAGGCATCACATTAGTGCACCATACCATCCTGCAACTAACGGGCAAGCAGAACAGATGGTGTGCGAAACGAAAAAAAAAATCCCTTTTGAAGCTTACGGAAGAAGCAGTTCAGTGAAGAATCGCCAGGTTCTTGTTCCGGCAGCACGCGTCGGTCTCATCTTACACGGAAAAAAAACCCGCCGAAGCAATATTCAGCGGAAGAATAGCCACACCCCTCGATCCCATGATACTATCGCTTACGAACAAAGATCGAGAGATACCCAAATCGGGAGTAATGGCAGTTTATTCGGTCGGACAAATCGTCTACGTGAGGAATTTCAGCGGAAATCTTGCCTTCCATGTAAAACTTGAGTAGAAAAGGCTCTATGTTGGTTGACCAGGAGGTGTCATCTCTCTGAATAGGTTGGATATCAATGCCCTTAAGTGTAAATATAACTAAATCACAAACCTTTCTTTGTGTATTGTGTAACTGCCCTTGTATTAGATAGTAGAAGCTACGGTGGTGATCTGGACCTTTCACACCAGACTCCTTTTTCGTATTTTTCGCCTCATACTCCTTTGCGGTTTAAGTATGCTTCAAGAATCTTTTGGAACGGGGACACTTTACGTCAACGAGGCCATTTGTTCCAAGTAGTCAATCAGGGAATGCTGCTAGAAATCCGTCCCTCATATTAACGAATAAGCCGCGCTTCTGCACAGTGCAGTTTTCCTGTTCCACGTACAGTTGTAAAGCAACATCCTCATTGTTTCTACCATATACTGTTGCGGGTGAAGAAAGTCTTTGGGTACACGATACTTGAAACAAGTCTGGCACTGTACGTTGTGGTTCAACACCCATTAATGTCGTCGTCCTTATAGAGCCTCATCATTTAATCATTACCTCGTCACCTCATATTGCTCTTCATCAACAGTAAGTACAATAGGCTACCGAAACATTACAATCCAAGAATTGAAAAATTAAGTCGTTCAGTCCTTCAACCAGTTTATAATTTATATAATGTTATTACGTTACATTACCTAGAGACGATCGACGTCCATTATCGATCTTCAAATACTTATACCTGTATATAAATTAGACGCACAAGGGGGGTTGGTTGCCGAGTGCATGGTCTAGCGCACACCTGGGTAGCTAAACTCGTGGAGCAAAACATTCTTCGCTTTTTGACGTAGCGGGGGGAGTGACCAAAAGAACGCCGCAAAGTTTCCTCCTCCCTGCGCGCGCTCAACTTCGCAACTTTTGACGAAAAATCCCCCGCGATCCCTAGGCGATGCACGAGAGCACGAGACAGCGCGGGGAGGCGAGCGTTCACGCCGCTGGCTGTACGTCGTCTTTGGGCTCTCTAGCGCCGACAATCCCGTCATGCCTCGCCCAGGCGAGGAGCGAGAGCAGACGACGAGAGTTCGTCTGCTACGATGAGGCATTCGCACAGCGGAACTGAAAGAAAAAGTTGGTTTTCTGCTCGAAACCGCGTCCCGCGGGCCACAAACTCAGACGCGAGCTTGAATTGTAAGCGTCTGATATTTCACGAAGGGAGGAATCGACGGCCCTTCTTTTATTCGCGAAATTTGAGTCGTTTTGTTGCTGTACAGACGCTGAAACCTACCAGTGTGCAATGAAAGCCCCAGAACAACCACAGGGGCCGCGAGACCTAGCATCATTTGTGTATGGGTGAAAAGTGCAACATTGTTCGACAAAGCTCCCACAGCAGAAACCTGCGACGCATTTACTCAGCGTCCGGGAAGGCTAAACATGGAGACGTTGCCCGAGACTCAAGCAAAGTCATATATGAATGGCAGCTATCTCGCCCCGTCATATTTAGTTTTGAGAAAGCTCTCGTTCTCAATGCCAGGGAAATAAAAAGTCTTACGAAACGTATTGCTAGCTGTTCCAAAGAACTAGATTTAAGCCGTATCCTTTCAGTTATTCACTCATAATATTATGCTTAAAACGAAGCAAGCTCTTGCGCGTACAGTGCCATCAATTTCCTCAAGCGTATGCTGTTTTGTAGTCAACTGGTTTCGGAAACTTACGCCGTCTGTAGATATCTCTGACTGCCGAGTTGCTTAAGTGGAAGTCATCGCAAATGTAAGTTCGACGTTGCAGCAACCAACGTTTAAACGATGGCAGCGACTGCACTCTCGCATTCCCACCCATCACGTCGAACAAAAAGGCGCTAGTTTCGGTTTGAGGTCGGTACTTTTCTACAACATCTATGGCGACAGCATCAGTCTGCACTGGGTGCATTTGGCAAGTTCGTTCGGGCCTGTTCTCCGTGCAGCACCCGGTGGGTGTATAATGCATTAGAACTCTCACAGTGCAAGTCTGTATCGCGAATTGGGAGCCCGTCACTGGCCTCACCGGCGGCCATTGCTTGACGACAGGCAATATGCCGCGTCCTGTCTAGTTCTCCCTTCATTTTCGTCCTTGTTGCTTTGGCCTTTTACATCATGAGGCAATTCACGCAAGTCTAAGGAAGAAACATGCA